TCTGCTGCAACTTGTCCACGTCTGGCAGAGTTTCAGGAGAACTGAGGGGTGTCTTTTCTCTGACCTTCCAAGTCTCCCTTCCTGCCATCATTTCCCAGTTCCTCCCACAATTTCAAAAGATCTCTTTTATATAACAAATTCTTTATTCTACAATTTTCATAGTAGCTTTTCTGTCCTGATTAAATCCTATCTAGGAATCTATTTGTTCTTTCAAATACTTAGAATGTGATGTATTCACCTTAATTTCTGGTTGGTATTCACTTTTTCTTTTCTTGAATATATTGATGAAAGCAAGTACATTTTATCTTATTCTCCCTCTTTTTTTAAAAAAATTAAGTAGAGACTATAGGTCTAGGGCTCTTAAGGTGTAAGATTTCAATTACTTCTGCACAGGATTAGAGGACTTCTACAAATTTGAAAACCTGAGTCTACATGACTTGGCATACTTCCCTCATGGTTGGAGTGGTAAATGAATGTTTGATGTTATTAAAAAATGCTTGAGGCTAGAGAATTTGATATTTTTATGAAATTCTCATCAGTTTTATATCCCCCAAAAGGTAACCCTGCACATTTTTTTTAAGGTTCTAAAGGTATATTTTTATGACAAATGGCTCACACACTTACCTTATGTATTAAAGAATATGGTTTTGTGAACCAATATCATCATAATACATTCAATTTTTTAAAAAGATACTAGCCCACCTGTCATGGCTCAATGGTTGAGTTTTGACCTATGAACCAGGAAGTCATGGTTCGATTCCCAGTCAGGGCACGGGCCCAGGTTGCAGACTCCATCCCCATTGTGGGGCATGCAGGAGGCAATCGATCAATGATTCTTTCTCATCACTGATGTTTCTATCTCTCTCTCCCTTCTGCTCTGAAATTAAAAATATATATTTAAAATAAATAAATAAATAAATACTAGTTTCCCAGCTGGTGTGAGTCAGTGGTTGAGCATCAACCTGTGTACCAAGAGGTCACTGGTTCAATTCTCAGCCAGGGCACATGCCGGGTTGCAGGCTCAATCCCTGGTGTGGGGCATGCAGGAACCAGGCCATCAATGATTTTTCTCTCATTGATATTTCTATCTTTCTCTCACTCTTACTTCTTCTCTCTCTAAAAAATCAATAAAAACTTTGTTTTCTAAAAGATACTAGCAAACTATAACACTATGTCAGCATAACATTCTTCAGATATTCTGTAACCTTGAAGACTGTTTTAAGGCTCCTCTCCCAGAGGCTTCTTCTGCTTTTAAAGACCTAGGGTAGGACCAAGGGATATGCATTTCTCACAAGTAGCCCAGAGAAGTCCAATGAAGGTTATTATGGATTTCTTCTGGGGAAAGACAGGAGTGGAAGAAAATTCAGAAAATATATTATCTTGCTATTTATGTCCTTGGACCTTTCTATTCACCTATATATCACCCCACAAAACAGAAAAAATAAAGAGGCAAAACAAAACCACTACCATCTCCAATTTTTTGTGCCTTCCAACCTCTATTTCAAGAATTTGCAATTCTAAATGTAACAAACGTAATTCTGTGAATTAAACATGTTGCATGTAATGCATTTAATGTTTCTAATGACTTAAAACCCTCTTAAAACATTCCAATTCAGAAAAATTATATCAACATACTATATAATAAGAGAAACATGCAAATTGACCATCCCTCTGCTACGCTCACCAGCCAATTAGGAGTTAGTATGCAAATTAACCAGACAAAGATGGCAGGCCTGTGGTCAGTGCCACATGCACAGGTGCCAAGTGGCTGGTTGCAGGTGTCCCACCTTGTCCTGGCTGCTCTGAGCCAGTAGGCAGTGTGTGCAGACATGTCCCAGCTGGGGTGGGGCAGGGGAGGATGCCTGGCTTCCACCCTGCCCCGGTCACTTTGGGCAGGTGAGCAGCACATGCTGGCGTCCCACCCCGCCCAAGCCACTCTGGGCCTATGGGCAGCACACGCAGAGAGCCTCTGGACAGGGGAAGCCGACCAGCAGAGGGAGGCCTGTACTCCCCACATGGTGGCGGTGGCAGCCGTGAGCATGCCAAGCAGAGCCTGCTGGCTGAGCTGAAGTAGCGCCTGCAGGCCATCAGTGCTGAGGAGTGGCTGTGCCAGTCCCACCTCCTAGCCAAGAAGGTGCATGATCACAGGGACAGTCACCGTGGAGAGCCAGGTTGACATCCTCCTGGCCACGCCATGGGGGTTTGCAGATCTGCAAAGCCACAGGCCTCCGGTGTGCACATCCTCTTCTCACCCCCTGGTGTGAGAACATCCCTCAGCGCGCTGTCACCCTTGCGTGCCTGCAAAAGTCCTGAACAAAGGCATGTGCAAGTTCCCCCCACTCCTCCGACGCACTTCCATCAACCCCAGCACGTCCCCTCCGGCATGCTCACGTCCTTTGGAGAGTGTCTGGGTGTTCTAGGTGCTGAGGGTGGGCGCCTGTGAGATGACAATGAGGGCCAAGTGGTGATGCCCTATTCCTGCAGAGGCCAGTGCAGTGAAGAGATCACCTCCATGGGGATAATGCAGGTGCTGAGGCAGGAGCAGGTGCAGACAGACGCAGCTGGTGGGCGCGGGCAGCCCTCGCTGAGGTGCCTTCGGTCAGCGTTCAAGATCAGGAACCCAGAGGAGGCGAGAAGTTCCTCTCAGTGAAATGGTGGGATAGTTGGGGTGACTGCAGAGGAGGAATGTGCACTTTGGGTGCTGGCACCCATGAGCAAAGGCTGCCCTGACTGAGCCTCGCTTGCTTGGGGCCTAGCGCACTCTTGCCGGTCAGAGGGTGACAGGACGTGCTTTTCCGAGTTAATGAGAGAAAACATTGATTCTCCTGCTGCCCACAAAGGTGGAAAGTGGAGTGGGGAGACATGCAGGGAGTGAGCGAGGTTCCCTGTCTGGGGGTTCCAAATCTGCTATTGGTTCCTTTCACCACTGACTAGAGATATACAGGGTTTCCCCCCAAAATGTATACACACTTTGAATACCTACTAATTCCAATGGGTTTAAGCATGAAAAGAAAGAAACAACAATGGAGCTGTTATCTGTTAAAAGTGTGGGCACAAACCCGCAGTCGGACATTCCCCGAGGGGTCCCAGATTGGAGAGGGTGCAGGCCAGACTGAGGGGCCCCCTTCCCCCAACCCCCTGCATGAATTTCATGTACCAGGCCTCTAGTTTTTCTATAAGAACAAATTGAGTTCATGTCAAAATGTAGTTTAAAAATAAGAATTACTTTATTCACTGAGTGAATATGAATCTCTTAGGATTTGTTACTTAATAGCAATTTTCCCCGCATACCCACTTCTTCCCACGGTATGCACACACGTACAAATTGGAAGAAAGAAAAAAACAGAACTATTTTATTATTTTTGTCAACTGCATGGCATATATTCACTCACAGAAAAGACATACCTAGTCAAATATTTTGGGGTGATGAAAGCAGGTATCTCACACACACTGAAAGATGCTATCTTTTAAAAATATATATATTATCATGAATTTTTACATAATGCTGGAATAAATGACATACTTAAATTGTTACACATAAAGGAAAAGAGTAATAAGTTGTTTAGAAAAAAGTATTAACAGAATAATTACAGTGAATCATGGTAGCAGACTTATAAGCCTGGCCAATGGTACTTCTTGCAACATTATTTTTCTTAAAACAGTAATTGATAAAAACTATTACTAATTAAAAACAAGTAGTAGAGAGGTTCTTTCAAAACAATAAATTCACCTTTTGAATGAGCAATACAAATTCCTCACCTTCAACTGGAGTCCATCAACAGAGATCCAGGGCTACACATAACATGACACCACAAAATCACTTGGAATCAGTTTTACTTTTGACACATAGTAGTTTCCAACTTGAAATTTCTTTTAGCGCCCCACCCCAACAGCTGCACCATGATACCTTACACAAACAACTCTCTCCCCATGGAAACATGCAGTTTCATAAGGAGAGAACTCCTTTATCTTCTTCTTCCTAGGTCCCTCTCCTCTTTATCATCTTCTTTCCTTCTTCTCCTTGATAACTTGCTTAATGGCTTAGATAAAAGAAGAATATTAAATCCAGGAGGAGTCATGAGATACAGCAAAAATAAGAGAGTATTCCATTTAATTAAGATACTCCATTCTTGATGGATTACTCTAAAATAAATGTTTTGAAGTGGATTCTGCTTCTTATGTTCAAAGAAAACCAGATGAAGGCAAGGATTAGAGATGACATTTGAAAAGAGTTATGTATTTTTCAGCATTTGCATTTAAAATTATTTCAAATAAAATCTCAAATGTTTCCTGTAACATTTCTAAAAAAGTAACTGTGGGTTTGATTGGATGATAAACACATTGGTCATGCTGATCAAAATCAACTTACATTTGACAGCCATGTGCTATTAATTCATCCCTCCCATAATAATCAGTTGGTTTAATTAGATAAGACAAATCTATCTGAATGGATTTGGCTTTGGACTTGGACTAGAGAACTTTTATGAAAGTGATGGATATACTTACATTTCATTTTAAAATCTGTAAAACTAGGAGAAACTCTTTGTAGAAGACTGAAACATGAAACAAAGTTTTATCAACTAGAGGCCTGATGCACGAAATTCGTGCAAGAGTAGGCCTTCCTTCCCCCTGGCTGCTGGCACCGGCTTCCCTCTGGCACCCGGGACCCAGGTTTCCCTCTGGCTGCCGGCAGGCACCTGGGACCTGGGCTTCCCTCACAGCCCTGGCTTCATCCAGAAGGTCGTTAGGAGGGACATCTGGTCTAATTAGCATATTAAGCTTTTATTATTATAGATATTTTAAAAGAAAAATACCAACCAATCATAAAGACTAAAATTTACTATTTCCTCTCTTGTCTTCCATACAGCCTAGGAATCTAACACTTGAGTTGATTTAGGATGGCAATGTACAGACAACCTTATGAGATAAATATGTCTTTATTTTCTTACAATCCAGCTCTATAAATATTGTTAGGCCACAAAAATTAAAACCATAAGAAACCAGTTTCCATATTTTAATTTTTATTAACACCTAGGAAGGAACAATATGAGCTGTGCACAATGTACAACACCGTAGTAATGCAGTTTTATTTAACAGGTCAAACATACTGCATCTGTGGCTTACTTCATAGTAACACTGACTGGACTTCTCACGCAAGAAATTTATCTCCTCCACATGTGAAATCATGCTTCAACAATGAGATAATTTCAAATTACACAAAAATATTCATAAAAATCTACCTAGTGGGTGACAAATTATTACTGCCAATATTGGGATAACTGTCTCATAGTTTTATAAAATTCATAATCCTCAGATCTAAATGCTTAATATTGATCATTGGTTAATACTACCTGACATATACTTAATACTGACAATTCCACAAAATATATTAGCATCAAATAATGAAACACCACTTAGAAATTTTTTGCAATAACGTTTCTTCTTTTGTGTGCAATTAAAAAACACTATTCCTTTGGAACTTAAGTGTAATTTAAAACTAGAGATTCAAGTTGACTGGTATCTCTCAACTTATAAGGTTAAAAAATATATATGGCATTTATTTTTAAGGGAAATAAGAATGAGTGTATATGTGCCACAGACCTAAGTATGAGAGTAATAATTCAATTTTTTTAAAAAAAAATTTAGCTATCAAATTACCACCTCATTCTTATTTTGTTGACCCATTTTTGGTGGTAAACTCTGTGATTGATGTCAAATCACATCAAATCAATAGCCAACAATACCACTGTGTGTCAAAGGCATAGGGGCAAGGCACTGAACATTGTACAAAGGGATGAATCAATATAAAAGATTGTAAATGCATTAAAAGAGTTGAGATTACTTTAAACAAAAAAATCAAATTTCATAAACAACCTGTGCCTAACATACAAATAGCTAATGCTCTAACAAGCTTCATGATGAAAAAAGGCATTGTAGAAGACAAATAATTTTTTGAAAATAATTCAACATTTTTATATTAAGGTCAATAAATTAATCAATATACATTGTCTGGAATTTCTTAACTACAAAGAAAAGACATTACTGCTTTCAAATGTCTTTCATTCACTCAAAGACCTGAAACAATCTAATAACTTCTTAATACTCTTTTCCAGATAAAACAATCCAGTCTTCAAACTATTTTTATCAAAACGTTATCTTTAAACAACTGAATTGTTAGTCTTTTGTTGAAACCCAAATGTTCAGTCTCTTGAAAAAGCAATTTTGCATTTACCTGAAGGACCACCTGGGATTCTTATGAAAGTTTCACTTATTCAGGACAACTTCAGAAACATACTCTCGCCATGATATTTACCCAATATGCTTAATATGTGGGTCTTCTTATGTCATCTGAGTTTGGTTTTTCATTTGCATAGTCTAAAATGGCAGGTTAAATATGGCTTTTTAAGCCCCTTCACTTCTTTTTTCTTTGTCCCAACATTTTTCTTGATGGGAAAGTGATATGAAACAACCCAGTAGAAGACCATGAAAATGTGCAGAGATGCACTGGAAGGTGACGGGACAGCCCTAGTCCAGTGTTGGATTATAAACTGCAACATTCCATGATTTCCCATATTCTGATTCCACATGCACTTTTAACAATCATTTATAGAATCCCAGAAAACAATATCTAGGGAGGGCCCAGCCAATGGAGCAGAGAAGGTATTCTTCTGACCTCACAAAGTTGGCCTCTATAAAAGTGTACAAAAACTTTGAGTTAAAAAAGAAGGGATAAAATTGACACATGGCTTCTGGCCTCTGGCCCTAATCTAGGGAAAATGTGAAGCCAGTCAGGCTCCCAGCTGCTTACTCATTTTGGTGACTAGATTGTTGATTTAGCCAGCTATACTTTGTTTTCCTGAATCATGAATTCCTTGGCAAATTCACTAGAATCAAATGTCAAGTTCTCTTTTAATTTCTTAAGCTCAAAGTCATGGAGAATCTTGACTGTCATTAGCCTTTCTCGCTTAATTTTCTCCAGAACATCTTTTGGAACATCAGGGATCATCCAAGCCAACAAAAATTTAACTAAAAACACAACATGCTGGAGAAAACATTAAAAACAAAACAAAAACAAACAAACAAACAAAAAAAACCAACAGTTAGAATTGTCAAATATTCAGCAGGAAGCTCTTACAAATAATTTCATTCATTCAATAAACTGTGCTCAATGTAGGAAGTACCAGGAAAATAAAGAAGATATGGCCCCTGTCTGGAACTTTCCTACAAAGACCAATAGTAAACAAATAAATACATTCTAAAATATGTAATACAGAAATTGAGGTTGAACATGTCATTGAATATACTCTTTTTTCTATGCTCCCTCCTAAAAACCTAATAAAATACTTGAAAATAAAATTTAAAAGATATAACCAACAAAGACAAAAAGAAGGGAGGGAATAGTAATAACAGACTCCAGAGTAGAGAAAGCTTGCACTTAAACTTGCAATGGTTCCCTGCCCCAGGTAGGGGTGTGGGCAGGAGGCAACCAATCGATGTGTCTCTCTCGCATCAATGTTTCTCTCTGTCTCTCCCTCTCCCTTCCACTCTCTCTAAAAAAAATCAGTGGAAAAATATCCTCGACTTGAGGATTAACAACAACAAAAAAAACACACACAAAAAAAACCAAAAAACCAAAAAAATTTATAAAGACTAGGGAATCAGAATGGTTTTGCATTTGCATTTCATAACAACACTGGCTCCAACCCAGGGAAAAACTAACAGAAAATAAAGCAATGTCTTTAAGAAAAATTCAGGATACCTAAATAAAGATAGTTAAGCATTTTTTTAGGGAAAATGACTTTCAATCTTGAATTTCATACCAATTAATCATCGATAATGAAAGAAAATATATTTTTAATATGCAAGTTTTCAAAAATTGATGGCCCATAATTTTCATCAGCAAATTACTGAAAGATGTACTTCATTAAAATAAGCTATCAATCCAAAAAAGGGAGAAACATGAATTGCAGAAAATATAGTAATTAATACAAGAGAAGGTAAAGAGAAATCCCAAAAAGACAATGAGTCAGAGCCTGTGATAATTGCAAAAATTAGTAAGAATAATGAATAAACAAAAACAAAAATATCAAAAGATTCCTTATGCAATTTACCAGACTGAAAGGTGATGAAAAATGTAGGAATGAAAGAGTGATAAAGAAAAGATAGAGAAAGAGAGAAAGGGGGAGGGGTAACATGTGGAGGAATGCTACATAAGACTGCTCTCTTTTCTTTATTGTGCAAAATTATTTGATTTTTAAAAATTACTTACATGTATAAAAAGAAAAACTGATTAGACTTTGTGTGTGCTTGCATTAGACTTTTCCATTATTGAGATTCATTGTAGAGTAAAAAAAGTGCCTTACATTGACTTGTCTCTCCCTTATTGGCTTTCATGTCTTAGGATTTGTAGCTCTCAATTTGTGTCTTAGTCAAATACCACCTCTGTATTTGTTCTTTTTTACTGCATGTCTTATATCTAAAATTATACTGGAAGTTCCACAAGGGAGAAACATAATATAATGGACAGAGCAGAGGCTTGGGAGTGAGACATCTGGCATCAAAACCCAGGTTTAATATTAGCTGATTACCTTTCAACCAAATATCTTATTTTGATAAGTCTCAGAGTCATTTTACAAGGGCAAATAATAAAGTCTAACTTATAAGGTTATTATTATAGCCTCTGCAACCAATATGTAAAGGTATTCAGTAAAATCAGTGGGTCCTCTGCCTTTATCCTGTCCCTCAAGGGATGTAGCCATATTTTTTCTTTTCTGCCACCTTGATAGCTAGTAAGTGAATAACAGGCACTCATTATACTGAAAATATCCCTACATTGCTTTCTATGACAACAAACATATCAAAACAATTTATCGAGATAATGCTAATTCTTTTCTAAGCAGATATCTTTAGACATATATGGCTAAAGGGAGCAGAAAGACTAATTGGAATGAATGCTAAGAAGGGCTTACCTCCATGACTATGATGAAGGTCATTTTGGCAGCAAGGACGTGCCAGAATTGCATATTATGAGAGTATTTCTCTGCGTGATTAGGGGGATATCTGTGATCTCTGTACCTGAAAAATATATATACAAAAAATTAGCTACAGAATCAAATAGAGAGACTTCTTAAGAGACTCTTTAATTGACTTCAAAAGTCAAGTCACAGTAAGATAACTGCTACCATGAAACATTTATCTTTCTTGTACAGATAAAAGTTATAAATGTTGCTCACATAGAGTATAGATGTAGCAGGAGACATAAGTGAAACTTCTCTCCTGTCCTTCAAAGACAGATATTGCCATCTCCATTACCTCCCTTTCCTACCCCTTAACACAGGTAGTTCTACCCATCACCCCAGAGAAACCAATTGTCTCCTGTCATTATACTCAAGGAACATTTTAATCCTCATCTTATTGTATCTTTCAAGAATAGAACTTGACATTATTAACGATTTCTATTTTCTTGAAACTTTGTTTTCTTTTGGCTTATCTGACACTGCATTGTGTAGTTTGGGATTTATTCTTTACTATCCTTCTGGAGTGTTTGTGCTCAACTTTGTGAGCTCATTGTTTTCTACAAAGTTACTAGAGATTGATGTGCTTCAAGGTTTTAGTCCAGTGATGACATCATGAAATACAACACAAGTGTCCATGCTTTTAAAGGCAATGCTATGATTCCTCTAGATGCAAATATGAAGCATAACAATGCTTCTGTCTACCTATGATGCAATATTTTGCAGTTTCTTTGCTGGAATCCAAAATGAAGTAATTGGCTTAAGAATTAAGGGGCCTTAATGTTTATTCTATCAATATATTATAGTATAGTATAATATAATATAAATAAAACCCTAATATGCAAATAGACCGAACGGCGGAACAACCGAACAATCAAACAACTGGTTGCTATTACGTGCACCAGGAGGTGCGTGTGGAACATGGCAGGCATTGGCAGCAGGCAGAAGACTGTGGAACATGGCGGGCATCGGCCGTGGTGAGATGGTGGAGCAGGTGAGTGGGGGCGCCAGACCAAGGCAGGGTGCCAGTTGCTGTCATTGGGGCGAGCCTCTGGTGGTTACTGAAAATTCTTTGCTCCATGTGCTGCGGTCCTGCCAGGCACTCACACCAGCTGGCAGCGCTGGAGCCGCTGCTTGCACCTGCTGCTGGTTCCCAGCTCCAGCCCCGATCACTCAACACTGTCAGAGGGTGTGAGCTGTGGCTGACAGCCCCAATCGCCCATCAGGACTTCTCCTCCTCCCCTTGCTCCTGAGGGGCAATAGGGGCCGACAGTTGCCTCTCACACCCACTCTTGGTGACGGCCGCACTCGCACCTGCTGCCAGAGCCGCCTCTTGCACCCACTGCATGCTGGCCCCTCTTGCACCCGCAGCCGGCACCGGAGCCACTGCTTGCACCTGCTGCCGGTGCCCAGTGCCAGTCCTGATCACTCAGTGCCATCAGTGGGTGTGAGTGGTAGCTGCCGGCTCTGATTGCCCCTGAGGACTTCTCCACCTCCCCCTGCATCTGAGGGGCGATTGGGGCAGCAGCCACTGCTCCCACACACTGATGGCGCTGGCCCCGCTTGCACCCGCTACTGGTGTCAGCCCCAATCGCTCTGCACCATCAGCGGGTGCGAGCAGGGCTGGCACCATCAGCACATGGGAGCAGCGGTGGCGGGAGCAGGGCTGCCAGCAGACAGGGGACCTAGGACTGTGGTGGGAAGGGCTGGTCGGGGGTGCAGAGGATGGGCTGAGACCCACCCCTGTGCCCACCGCAGCCTCACAGCCCACAGTTCCTTTCAAGGTGCATGAATTTGTGCACTGGGCCCCTAGTATGGTATGGTATGGTATGGTATAATGTATAATATAATATAATATAATATAATCAATATATTATAAACATATTATATGTAAATCTTTAAATTCTATAGTAAAAAGATACTACACAGGATAAGTGTAGAAAGAGTAGGTTTACAAATCCAATTTCACTCACTGCATAAAAAAGAACCCTTTACATAGGATGGATGGTGAAGCAATCATATTTTTACTTCTTTTTTAGTTTATCTTATTTTGAGGACATATAATTAAGGTCAAGTAGATTAGATTCACCTATAACATAATTATATATATATATATATATATATATATATATAATTATATATATAATTATATATATAATTATATACACACACACACACACACACACACACACACTGAGTGGCCAGATTATTATGACCACCTGACATCTGCAGCAAATTAGCTATAATTTCACGCTGAAGTTGCTACAGGGCCAGACCATTATAAATAGGGAAGCAGGTTGCTTACCACAACAGTAGAAGTGATTTTTTTCTTTTTTAAAAAAATATATTTTATTGATTTTTTACAGAGAGGAAGGGAGAGAGAGAGTTAGAAACATCGACGAGAGAGAAACATCCATCAGCTGCCTCCTGCACACCTCCTACTGGGGATGTGCCCGCTACCAAGGTACATGCCCTTGACTGGAATCGAACCTGGAACCTTTCAGTCCGCAAGCCGATGCTCTATCCACTGAGCCAAACCGGTCAGGGCAGAAGTGATTTTTTTTTCTGAAGATATGGGTAAACAATGCGATTTAACAGCCTTTGAATGTGGGATATATATTATTATGAGTGGCCAGATTATTATGACCACCTGACGTTCGTAGGTAAATTAGCCATACACTGCATCATATGGGATATGGAAGCTGAAGGCCTGTTTGAACACCTTTGCTGTCTGCAGTTACTAAGATAAAACTCCTCCAATTCGCACAGAAACACAAGGATTGGACAGTTGAGCATTGGAAAAAAGTCATGTGGTCCAATGAATCACATTTCCAGTTGCATCATGCAGATGGCAGGGTGAGAATTTGGCATGAAAGCATGCACCCCACATGCATGTGTACAACCCTTTAAGCTGGTGGGGGCAGTGTTATGGTTTAGGGCATGTTTTCTTGGCATGATTTGGGCCCTTTAATTCGTGTGGAACAACATCGGAATAGCACAACATACCTAAGTATCTTTGCTGATCAAGTTCATCCTATCATGATGGCATATCCCAATGGAGATGGCTTCTTCCAATAAGATAATGTGCCATGCCACGGTGCTCGTATTGTGAAGCAGTGCTTTCAAGAACATGAGGGAGACTTTACCTTGCTTAGATGGCCCCCACAATCACCAGATCTCAATCCAATTGAGCACTTGTGGGACGAAGTTAAAAGTGCCATCAGGCAGCTGGTTCCACAACCATCAAATCTCACAGAACTGGACAGTGCTATTCATCAGGCATGGTGTCAGAATCCTCGTGTCACCTTTCAACATCTCGTGGAGTCAATGCCAAGAAGAATCGCCGCAGTATTGAAGGCAAAATGTGGCCCAATGAAGTACTGATGGGATGGCCATAATAATCTGGCCACTCATAATAGCATAGATCCCACGTTCAAAGGCTGTTAAATCACATTGTTTACCCATATCTACAGAAAAAAAAAATCACTTCTACTGTTGTGGCAAACAACCTGCTCCCCTATTTATAATGGTCTGGCCCTGTAGCAACTTCAGCGTGAAATTATAGCTAATTTGCCTACAAACGTCAGGTGGTCATAATAATCTGGCCACTCAGTGTGTGTGTGTGTGTGTGTGTGTGTGTGTGTGTGTGTGTGTGTGTGTATGTATCTTTATATCTCTATATCTCTATCTCTATCTCTATCTCTATCTCTATCTCTATCTCTATCTCTATATCTATATCTATATATAGCATCTTGGAATCAAAGGGCATTTGTTGGTGAGAAATCTTTCCAATAAATTTAGAAAATAAAAAGCAATTCAAAATTGACATTATCTTTACCCATAATATTTTCTTACTTTGGGACATTCTACATTTCCAAATCAGAATCATAGAATGTGTGAATTCTAAAATTATGCACTTGATTTATCCGGGATTTTTATTGCTCCAAGGAAATCCTTTATGTTCTAAGGCATGAATGAAATACAGAACTTAGAAATACATTTAGAGGGTAAAATTAAAGTCTTAAGAAAACAAGAGGAAACCTGCAAGTGGTGAAGTCTCGTTTGTCCAAAGGTGCAGTGGTGTTTGGTAAATCGGCTATCAGGAAGACTGACAGGCTGTTATTGACATATCCTTTCAAAGGTTCATTGCCATTTGTTGAATAGGCATAGTAGTAAACTAAACGAGGAATGATGTCCGATGTAAATGCAACAATAAAAGCCTAAAGGATAAAGCAAGAGGGAGATCAGGAGCAAGCAATCTAGTTTTTAACAAGTCAGATTTGTTCCCTGGCTGGTGTAGCTCAGTCCCATGTGCGAAGGGTTGCTGGTTGGATTCCTGGTCAGGACACTACCTGGTTTATGAGCTTGATCCCGGTGGGGGGCATGAAGGAGGCAGCTGGTTGATGTTTCTCTCACACTGATGTTTCTCTTCCCCTCTTCCTTCCTCTCTCTCTCTCAATCAATAAAAATCTTTTTAAAAATGTCTGATTTGTATTTCTCTCAGTTCCATGTGCCATATGGATGCAAAATGATTAAAATGCTATTATAAATCATGATAATATGAGTCTTTGGCCTAAAATATGCAATACCACATTTATAGTATACTAGAGGCCTGGTGCACAAAAATTTGTGCACTCGGGGAGGGTCTCTCAGCCCGGCCTGTGCCCTCTCGCAGTCTGGGATCCCTTAGGGGATGACCACCTGCTGGTATAGGCCTGCTTCCCGGCAATCAGACATCCCTCTGGCAGCCCAGTAGCCCTTGGGGGATTTGCATGTTTCTCTTTTATTAGATTAGATTATGGTGTGTGTTTTCTTGCCATCATTAACCAGAGTAACTGTTGCTTATGTATTAAAGTTCTATTCCTGCTAAGTCTAGAAGCAGCCTCAGAATCCTTCTCACCATTCATCTTAAGTCTGATGCTTCGTTGATCAGAATTAATACCTGAGGTGAAGCCTCTTACTGCAGATGTACCCCAGAATGTATGGCATCCTCTCTGCTTTATGATCCAGCTAATAATACATTGCCTCAATCATGTTGGTTGAGGTCATTTTTCCCCTTGCAGTTTCTAGTAGTAGATTACCAATTACTGCCTAGGAAGTAAAATTGACTATCTCCACGTAAATCATAAAATAAGGCATTTTTCTCATCAATAAAATTTCATTATTTCAGCATGAGTAATTTTGTCAACAACGTTTTGAGGCAGTAACAGTTTATAACAAATTGAGTTGAATTATTGTTTCAGGTACTGTGCTGTGTCATTTTATCTTTGCAACAACTCTATACAGTAGGTACTGTAATGACACAGATGAGGACACTGAGGTATAGAGAGATCAGGTAACTTGACCAGTAAAACCCAAAAGTGGCTGAGTCTCATTTCAAATCCATGAGCCTTGACATTTAACCATTACACTCCACTCAGTATTGTGCTAGAGCCTGCTCTCACTGGCTCACAAATTTTCAGGAATTTTGTAAGCTGGTTGTTAAACATGTTCATTATTAAAAATTAAATTATATAATCTTAAAAGTGAATAAATTACATTAAAACCAAAGAAAATACATACTCTAAATTCATCACTCCTCAATTATTTACTACACTTTACTGTTCTGACTCTTGACATTATTTATATCTTTTGGGTCTTTCTGGTAGAATATAATAGTGTATTACTGCCTGTTTCTCCTGAGCTCTGCATTTAGTGGCATCACATTAGCAGCTGAAATCAGCCTTGGATGGAGAATTTATGCCACAGAAATTGGCCAACTGTATAAATCAGAGTTTTGTTTTCTTTGATTGAGAGCCAGTTGTTAAACATTTATCAGCACAACACTGACCACATTGGTGGTGGTGGTCTTGTCAGAATGTGTTAGATTATGCAGATGAAAATCTATTTAAACAGATTTGATGTAGGTATTTTCAAAGATGGAAGAATTGTCCCTGTCAACTATGTTAGTTGATTCATATCTTTTTTTTAAAATATATTTTTTATTGATTTTTTACAGAGAGGAAGGGAGAGAGATAGAGAGTTAGAAACATCAATGAGAGAGAAACATCAATCAGCTGCCTCCTGCACATCTCCTACTGGGGATGTGCCCGCAACCCAGGTACATGCCCTTGACTGGAATCGAACCTGGGACCTTTCAGTCCTCAGGCTGACGCTCTATCCACTGAGCCAAACCGGTTTCGGCAGTTGATTCATACTGTAACTAATTGTTATCATTGCAAACTTTTCTGTCCCCATATGGATTGCTGGATATAATAGGTCATGCACTGTCCCTGCCCTCCTCCCTTTGTAGCCTTTGTTACCTTAAGAACTCTAGTTTTCCATTTATATGTTTAAGTAGCAACCTTACCGACTTAAACGTGTAAGCTTCTAACACTGCTCTGTTCCGTATCCTTCCGATGAAAAGTGGAGTTGGGTTGTGGCACAGGAGAGAAATTAAGAAGGGGAATATTGAAGTAATGACTGCAGTAGAAGAAGAGGGAACCTATTTGCCGGGCCACAGGCGCTGGCACCCTGGACCACAGGGCTGGCAGCTTCTCCAGGTGGCTACAGCCTGGGACCTTGGGGCGGGTGGCTTGTCCATCTCCTGGGCCGCAGCCAGCTGCAGGCGCTGGCGTTTGGACTGCAGGTGGGCGGCTTCTCTGTGTCCCCTGTGATGTAGTGTGGGCAGCTTCTCCGGCTGGCTGTAGCCTGGGATAATGGGGCAGGCTGCTTCTTTGTCTCTTAGTCTGTAGCCAGCCTCAGGCACTGGGGCCCGGCTTCTCAGTCTTCCCGAGGACTTGGGGCGAGCAGATGTGGGGTAGGCAGCTTTTTTGGCCAGCTGCGGCCTGAGATTATGGGCAGGAGGCTTCTCCGGCCGGCTGCGGCTGAGAGCATGGGCAGGCGGCTTCTCTGGCTGGCTGAGACCTGGGATCACGGGGCAGGCAGCTTCTCCAGCCTGCTGAGACCTAGGATCATGGGGCAGGCAGCTTCTCCGGCTGTCTGCGGCCTGAGATCGTGGGCAGGCAGATTTTCCAGTTGGCTGCAGCCTGGGATCACGGACAGGCGGCTTCTCTGGCCGGCTGCAGCCTGGGATCATGGGCAGGCTGCTTCTCTGGCCGGCTGCAGACTGGGATCACGGGGTAGGCAGCTTCTTCATCTCCCAGGCTGCAGCCAGCCTCAGGCACTGGAGCCAGACTTCTCTGTCTCCCCTGACTTCTGCATCTCCAATAGGCCTGGAGCGGCCAGAGCCGGGATGCTTGCATGGTAGCTGTAGCTGCAACGCAAGTATCCTGGCTCTGGCCTCCACTATCTTATAAGTACCGCGCGCTAACTGATTGCGCCACTGGAGCTCCTAGCCTCCACTATCATTGTTGGGTTAATGTGCTTATCTCTGGATCGGTTTGTGGGCGTGGCTTGGGGGTAGCAAAGGTACGGTCAATTTGCATGTTTGTCTATTATTAGGTAAGATAATTAGTTGTCCAAGATGACATAGCTAGAAAGTGACTAAGTTAAAACTGAACCTAAGTGTACCTGTCTCCAAAAACATGCTCTTTCCACCCTGCTTTTCTATTTCTTACATTTCTCATTGTTGCACAGTGTAGTTCCAGTGTCCTTAAACAAAATCACTTGCCTGGATCAACTCCCAACTCCCAAAGCTAGGACAGTGTTTGGGTATGTGTGTATGTATGTGCGCGTGTGCGTGTGCATGTGGAGGAGTTTGGAGGGGAGGGAATGGAGAGAAAGACAACCATGAGCTAGTACAGTGATGGTGAACCTTTTGAGCTCAGCGTGTCAGCATTTTGAAAAACCCTAACTTAACTCTGGTGCTGTGTCACATAGAAATTTTTTGATATTTGCAACCATAGTAAAACAAAGACTTATATTTTTGATATTTATTTTATATATTTAAATGCCATTTAACAAAGAAAAATCAACCAAAAAAATGAGTTCGCGTGTCACCTCTGACACACATGTCATAGGTTCGCCATCACTGAGCTAGTAAATTTCCCATAGTTAAATGCAATTCATTTCAATATTTTATTTCATAGGGAAGCTATTTTTCCATCTTTCCTAAGCTCTAAATGGTATAAATAACATGTTTCTTTTAGGGTTGATAAGTCACTTTAAACCACCTGGCTCTATATCTACATTTCTAGTGGTAGATTTTTTTTTTTAATGATCTACACTAATAAAAGACAAACATGCAAATTGACCGTACATTTGCTACGCCTTAAGCCATGCCCACCAGCAAATCAGAGCGACTATATGCAAATTAACCCAACCAAGATGGCGGCCGGCAGCCACGGAGCTGGAGCAAGCAGGAGGCTTGGTTGCCCCAATGATGGAGGAAGCCAAGTTTCCCATTTGTCATGGCCTGTCATGGCATGGCCTCCACTCAAAGCAACAAAGTTTCAATTATAGAAGGTAAATAAACCCCAGAATAAAAAAAGAAAAAAGAAAAAAAGGAGAGGCTGGGAGCTTCCGTCGCCAGGGGGGCTTGGCCAGCTTGAAAACGGCCCTCAGCCCCTCACCCAGACTGGCCAGGCAACCCAGTGGGGACCCCCCACCCTAAAAGGGGTGTGGCCAGCCTGCAAACAGCCATCATCCCCTCACTCGGGCTGGCCAGGCACCCCAGTGGGGACCCCCACACTGAAGGGGGTGTGACCAACTGCAAACAGCCATTAGCCCCTCACCCAGGCTGGCCAGGCACTCCAGCAGGACCCCTACCCTGATCCGGGACACCCTTCAGGGCAAACCAGCCAGCCCCCACCCATGCACCAGGCCTCTATCCTATATAGTAAAAGGTAATATGCAAACTGACCCTAAGAGCAGAACGACTGGGAATGACTGGTCACTATGACACACACTGACCACGAGGAGCCAGATGCTCAATGCAGGAGCTGTCCCCTGGTGGTCAGTGGTCTCCCACAGGGGGAGCTCTGCTCAGCCTCAAGCCAGGCTGACGGCTGCCAGTACAGTGGTGGTGGTGGGAGCCTCTCCCACCTCCTCAGCAGAGCTAAGGATGTCTGACTGCAGCTTAGGCCTGCTCCCCACTGGCAAGTGGACATCCCCTGAGGGCTGCCGGGCTGACAGAGGGATGTCTGACTGGCAGCTTGGGCCCGATCCCCCAGGGAGCGGGCCGAAGCCAGCTGGTGGACATCCCCCGAGGGGTCCCAGACTGCAAGAGGGCATAGGCCGGGCTGAGGAACACCCCCCACCCCCCCCGCGAGTGCACAAATTTTTGTGTACTGGGCCTCTAGTCTTTATATAAAAGAAGATTTAATTGTATTATTCAAATCCTCTATACCTTTACTTGTTTCCTGTTAATTAGTCACAGTATGAAACTGTATTGCGTTATTTTAATGAGAGTGATTTTACAATTTTCCTTGTATTTCTAAGAGTTTCCATGTTAGAGATTTCTCTATGCTATTTACTGTATGAAAGTTTAGGGATATTTTACCTTTGTGGATTGTCAGCAAATGAAATCAATGCAAATAAAGATTGAGCTAAGCATCATTCACATTTCCCCATCCCCAAGAAAACAAAATACAATGTACCCCACCAAAATAGGTCCACTTACATTACTTGCAACAGAAAGAACAGCCATTGCATGAAGAATGTCTTGCCAAACACCTATGCTATGAGCTTTAGCTGCAACAGGTCTCCTGTACTGAGTAGTGAGTTTCCAGGCATCCACTCGAATCTCTAAAATATTATTCATGAGAGCAAGAAGAGGAGCCAAAGGAAAAGAGGCCACAAATAAGGTAACAAATCCAAATTGGATAACTGTAGGGAAAAAAGAAAAATTTGTAAACTCATTATTATGGAGGAGAAAAGAGGGAACACTCTGCCCAACACCTGCCACTTCTGACATTTTGGAAGTATCTATACCAGCAAAGTACTCCAGGTCTCTTTCCATCTGCCCACTTCCTCCTCCTTACAAGAAGCATAGTGATGTATTTGCTTGCTAAAATAGAAAGGAGAGCATTATGCTAAGTGAAATAAGCCAGTCAATGAAGGAAAAACACCACATGATCTCACTCACTCATGGATAATAAAGACCATTATAAACTTATGAACAAAAATAGATACAGAGGCAGAGCTGCCTCAAACAGACTGTCAAACTACAGCAGGAAAGCAGGGGAGGGTTGAGAGGCGGGAGGGGTGGATGGGGGGGGGGGCGGGTAAGAGATCAACCGAAGGACTTGTATGCATGCATATAAGCATAACCAATGGACATAAGACACTGGGGGGGGTAGGGGAGGCCGGGGTGCCGGGGTCCAACCCCAGCAGGTCCAGGGGTCCCCAAAGGTGTGGACGGAGTCGGCGAAGAAGGAATGACACGGAGACAGCGTTCAGTTGATCAGCAGCCTAGCCAGGATCTCTAGCCAGGATCTCCAGCCAAGTTCTGGTCTGGATCTCCAGCGAAGTTCTGGTTATGTGTCCATGTTGTCTTGCTAGGTTCTCCAGGTTCTCCAGCCAGGTTCTGTAGCCAAGTTCCCTCGCTAGGTTCTCCAGCCAGGTTCTGTCCAGGTTCTCCAGCCAGGTTCAGTCACTAGGTTCTAGTCAGGTTCTCTTGCCAGTTGCTGTAGTCAGGTTCAGTCCAGGATCTTTTGCCATGTTCTCTCGCTAGGTTCTGAGCCAGTTTCTGTCCAGGATCTTTTGCCATGTTCTCTCCAGCGAAGTTCTTCTGTCTCTAGAGAACGTTCTGTGTAGGTTCTGTGCCTAGGTTCTGTCTCTCCTCGTTCTGTCTTCTTACATCTGTATTTATACCAGTTGATTCAATCCTATCAATCTCTATTACAAAGGTTAGGGCGTTTCTTATCTCCATTCCAGGGAGTAAAGATTATGTAGCTTAAGCATGATTGTTCGTAGTTAAAGTGATTAATTACCCGCCTGGCACTTAGTTGAGGGGTTTTATTCCCTCCCTAACTTCAGGGGAAAATCCCTACCTGGGGAAACAACCTTTCTCAGAGACCTTGGTTAAAACACATAGTGCCAAGAAGGTGAGCAAACATATATGCCAGGTCCCTTGAAACAGCAAGCATGGACCGGCTCCCGGCAAATTCCCCCTTTTTTATTTTTTAAAATCAGGCATTAAAAAGAAAAACCCGAAATGCTCTCTTATATCCATTTTAAGAGTAGGATTGGCGCTTTCCGCTATTACCTGAGTCCTGATCTATCACCCCAGGGAGAGTTTGCCAATCCTGCACTTTCCCGGGGTGGAAAGGCTGCAGTGGGGTTAAGGATAAGGCTCCTTGGGCCAACCTCCTCCCATGCCTTTACATTTACCTTTCCTTCCTCAGAAAAGCATGGACATACTTCTTGTATAAAAAGTTCTGTCTGACTGGGAGTAACCTTAATTCCTCTGCTAGCAAGCATATGTGTTAAAAGATCAATACAGAGTCTTATTTCTTTAGACTCAGTATGGCACATCTTCTTAATCTAAAGATCAATACAGAGTCTTCTTTCTTTGGACTCAGTATGGCACATCTTCTCAATCTAAGTTCTGTACTATCCACCTTCTTACCCTACTTATCCTCTATAGGGGGGTCTGTAGCACCCTGGTGGAGTCCTATCCGTCCTGAGTGTGGGGGTTCTCAATGGGGGGGGCTTACCTATGGGAATCCTGTTCCAGGGGTTCCCAAAGGTGTGGACGGAGTCGGCGAAGACTATCCACCCTCTTCCTACGGTGGAGTCCTATCCGTCCCGAGTGCGGGGCGCTTACCTAGGGGTCCCTGTTCGGGCGCCAGATGCCGGGGTCCAACCCCAGCAGGTCCAGGGGTCCCCAAAGGTGTGGATGGAGTCGGCAAAGGAGGAATGACACGGAGACAGCATTCAGTTGATCAGCAGCCTAGCCAGGATCTCTAGCCAGGATCTCCAGCCAAGTTCTGGTCTGGATCTCCAGCGAAGTTCTGCTTAGGATCTCCAGCCAGGTTCTGTGTCCATGTTCTCTTGCTAGGTTCTCCAGCCAGGTTCTGTAGCCATGTTCCCTCGCTAGGTTCTTCAGCCAGGTTCTGTCCAGGTTCTCCAGCCAGGTTCAGTTACCAGGTTCTAGTCAGGTTCTCTTGCCAATTTCTGTAGTCAGGTTCAGTCCAGGATCTTTTGCCATGTTCTCTCCAGCGAAGTTCTACTGTCTCTAGAGAACGTTCTGTGTAGGTTCTGTGCCTAGGTTCCGTCTCTCCTCGTTCTGTCTTCTTACATCTGTATTTATACCAGTTGATTCCAATCCTATCAATCTCTATTTCAAAGGTTAGGGCGTTTCTTATCTCCATTCCAGGAAGTAAAGATTATGTAGCTTAAGCATGATTGTTTGTAGCTAAAGTGATTAATTACCCACCTGGCACTTAGTTAAGAGGTTTTTTTTTTTTTTTTTTTTTTTTTTAAAATATATATTTTATTGATTTTTTACAGAGAGGAAGTGAGAGAGATAGAGAGTTAGAAACATCGATGAGAGAGGAACATCGATCAGCTGCCTCCTGCACATCTCCTACTGGGGATGTGCCCGCAACCCAGGTACATGCCCTTGACCGGAATCGAACCTGGGACCTTTCAGTCCGCAGGCTGACGCTCTATCCACTGAGCCAAACCGGTTTTGGCTAGTTAAGAGGTTTTATTCCCTCCCTAACTTCAGGGGAAAATCCCTACCTGGGGAAACAACCTTTCTCAGAGACCTTGGTTAAAACACATAGTGCCAAGAAGGTGAGCAAACATATTAAGAACAGTATGCCATATATGCCAGGTCCCTTGAAACAGCAAGCATGGACCGGCTCCCGGCACCGGGGGATTGTTAAGGGTGGGAAAAAAAGGAGACATATGTAATACTCTTCGTAATACTTTAAGCAATAAAACAATTAAAAAAAAGAAAAAAAAGGAGAAATAGGGCATGAACAGCTCAGTTCTGTCCTTGCTGTTTCTTTTGATATCTGCTTATCTAAAGAAAGTATCTATTCTTCTTAGATAAGATATTCTTCTTAAAACACAGTCTTTTATTATTCTATATAATAAAAGGATAATATGCAAATTGACCAAACAGCAGAATGACCAGAATGCCTGCAGCCCCTTGCCCTGGCTGGCCCACCCTCAGTGGCCTCCATCAGGCAGGCTGGCTGGACCCCACCAGTGCACAAATTCATGCAACGGGCCTCTAGTAGTCTATAGTTAGGCCTTATGCTGGTCTACACTTTACATTGGTACAGCCATACTAGTGGGGTAATCAAGTTTTTCTCTCTTGCTAATCTGAGTACTTTTTCAAATCAGGGATATGAGCGATTCATTTGTATGCTTCCAATAGCCAGCATATGCTGGGTATATAAGAGTACACAACTATAAGCCTTATAAATTAACTAGAGACCTGGTGCACAAAATTCGTGCACAGATAGGGTCCCTAGGTGTGGCCAGTGATGAAGGCCGATCTGTAGGGTGACAAGTGGGATGATCGGGAGGCCCCCACTGGCACCCGCCTTGGCTGGCCTGGCACCACCCGCTCGCTGGCCCCACCCCCTGCTGCCGCAGCCGCTGGTCGCCTACCTCTGCGGGGCAACCAGCGGGGCAATTGGGGGGACCCCCACTGGCACCTGCCTTGGCTGGCCTGGGGCCTCTGGGCTGGGGGCAGCTCCTGTGTTGAGTGTCTGCCCCCTGATGGTCAGTGCGTGTCACAGCGACCAGTCGTTTCACAAGTTGTTCTGCCATTTGGTTGATTTGCATATTAGGCTTTTATTATAAAGGATGCTTTATTTAAGCTCTGAAGAAGCTAATGGATAAAAAGTCAGTGCAAAACAAACTATTTGAGAATAAACCATAAAGTGAATTTTCTAAAGCATTGGAAGTATATACGAATTATAAGTGGGCAGAGGAAATATACATTTTCTGGAAAAAAGTATTAATTAAAGTCCTGATTCTTTGTGATATCTTGACATCTTTCTAAATAAGTTTTACTCTCCTCACTTGGTAAGCTGGCTTCTCTCCCCATTTTTGTTATTTTGTTTCCAACAATGCTTGGAATAAAAAAAAAAATGCAGTTGGCAGTCTGGGCTTCCCACATGAATAATAATAATAATAATAATAATAATAATAAAGATATGCAGGAATGGCTCTGAATTGAAGGAGGAAATAATCTTCCACTAGTCCTCTATTTTTACATGAATCTTGAGTGCTTCTGGATTTCAGCTTTTCTTTTAAAATTTTCTCATGAAAATCAGCCTTGTCATCTACTAACCCAAGTGAACAAATTGCCTCATTCCTGCCTCCTCTGATCCAAGAAATACGAAATTAAGAGGAAGTAGTATGTAGAAATAGCTTACATTTTCCATGTTCAAACTCTAGATCTTTACTTAAACTCTTTGTGACAGTAGAAAATTAAACTATCGACGTTTCAGTATCCTCTGAAATAAAATGCAGTAAATAATGACTACTCTGTAAGGTGTTTCAAGATTAGAGATAATGTATGTAAAACATCCAAATAAATTACTTATAGCACAATAAATGGGAGTCAATCTTATGAAACCTTGATTTTATATTTTAATCAGTGGTAATCTCTGATGCATTTACATACAAATTCATTTGAAACTTATACAATTAAAAACTATAGCCTTATCACCCACAAAGCAAACATTACCTAACTCTGGAGCCAGCTACATAGAGACTTCTTTTTATTTGTCCTCAAGTTACCTATTTCAATCCAGGTAGCATAGATATGTACTATAGTGGGGAATCAGCAACAAATTCAGGCCATCTCATTCATTCCACTGTGATTTTATGGGTTTTAAGAATAAGTTAAAAATTGTCTAACTTAATTTCACCAGAGAAGCAAAGAAATGTCACTGAGAGGAAGCCCTCTAAGAAGCTATGTAGGCAGTCTCTCCATCATTCTCTCTCCTAAAATGTTACCTCAAGCTCTCTTCTCTGTTCAATCCTTAGAATATTTTACGAATTTATTGTGTTCAATTTGGGTTTCCCTGGAATAACTGCTTTTAACTTGCTTCTTTTCAGCATGAATAAGGGGAAAACTAAATGTATGTCATTCACTGGAAATGTTTTTCAACTTATTCTCTCTCAGCTGCCACAGAGGCAAACAAAGGGAGAAACAGCTAGGTAAGCTAATTTGAGACAGGCATTAAAAAGTAATCTTTATTTTATTTTGTTCAATATTAACATTCCATTAATAGAAAAAATATATCTAAGATTGGTGTTTTAAAACTAAACTTCACTCTCCATTCTGTTTGGTGGGTAAAGTCAATGTTGAGCCAATCTTTTCTATACTCATCCACCTATCTTCTCATCCATTGTCCAATGATTTATTGAACACCTACTATGTCCAAAGCAGGAAGAAATACTAAGAGATGAAAAAACACTTATTTTACTCAGCCATATTCTATGTTTCAAAACAAGTCGTTGAAAATTACCTGTTTCTAAGTATTCATAGAATAGTCCAAGATTTCCAAAAGTCTCAAGGTCATGATCCTGCTCCCATCGACTGTATAACTTTTCAGAGTTGGTCCGAGCTTTTCGGCGTCTCCACCAATTCAGAGCCAACCTGTTGGAAGTGAGAGAAGTAAATACATGGAATAGTGTTTTAAAAGGGTTATAGAATCAGATCTAGAAATTGGAAGTAAGAAAGGTTAAGTAATTTAAGATCACAGAGCAAGTAGAGCTAAAGTCCAAATCAAAATCTAGTGTTCTTTTCATAACATGGGCCAGAGTCAAAAGTTCTTTATTGGAGTGATTAAGAAAACGTAATAACCTTGAATCTTCCCATGGAAATACATTTAACCAGAGACAGTTCTGTTAAAGAGCACGTGGAGAAGAGGATCACCATAGGGCTGTTTTTTTCTATTTAATTTACTAACTTTTTTCTTTGCTTGTATATTTTTATTTTTTAAATTTATCTTTATTGTTGAAAGTACTTCAGTTAGCCTCCTTTTTCCCTCCATTTACTCCTTCCACCCTGCACCCACCCCTCCCAGGCCTTCACCACACTATTAACTTAAACATTTGCTAAAAAAAGCACCATGATAATAGAAGAATTTCATCTTCTTCCAGAGAAAATTTCTCATGATTACTTAAATCAAGCAAAAACTTCTAAGTCACACATATGGATAAATGGCTTCTTGAATGTTTCCGAAGATCTGTTTCCCATTCATTATGATAGTCAACTGGATTGTCAATTCTATAAGGGTTATGCATGTATGCATATGAATTCCCAGGTTAATCTCTCCCCACTCTCCCCACCCCCACCTTCCCTCTGAGATTCATCAGTCTGTTCTTTATGTTCTAATGCTATTAAGAAGAACACTCAAGAAAGTAAGAAACTGCTTAAAATAGAAAATGCATGACAACAAAAACACAGAGGCTTATCTAATCCATGAAAATAAATGCAATAATCCTAAGCAAAATATGGCCTAACTAAATTCCATATTATATAAAAAATAAATGTATATATATAAAAGGCTAATATGCTAAGTGTCCTTCCCACTGTCCAACTGGTCTCTATGATGCACACTGACCACCAGGGGGCAGATGCTCAACGCAGGAGCTGCTATGATGCACACTTGCCATTTACAGAGAAACAGCAGTGTGGACCTGGCCAACAAAACAACATTCAGCTTCCCCAAGTGGGACACAGACCCACCTCCACCCCAGTGTGACAGCCTACCAAATCACAGCCAATGCAGCTGAAACCCCATGGACATCCTGTAAATGGTTGCTGTGGGCACTGCGTAATGACTTCACGTAGCAATGCCTGGCTTCCTCTCCCTAGCGACTAGCCTCCTTGCAGTTTCTTCAGCCCACAAACACAACTTGCTTTATACCCAGGTGGAAACATTTACACTCTAACCAAATGTCTGTGAAGTGTTTTCCCGTGCCTCATCTCATTTGATCCTCACAGAAGTCCTGGAGTAAGTAGATAGGAGACTCAGCGGAATCCTATTTTCTTTTCATTAGCCGGAAAATGGAGATTTAGAAAGCTTAGAAACTTGACCCGATTGAAAAGAAGTAAGAAATGGTGGACTTTGAAAATGACTTCAGGTTTTCTCACTGTTCAGCATATAGTCAAACACTGCTGCAGTTAAATATTTTACCCTTCGTTCTCCCTGTGTGATCTACAATAATATTCTGCTTTGTGTTGATATTTACTGCTGTGTTGCTGACAATTACTTGAAAGAGAAGTAGGGTGCTTCACTGGGCTGGAAAAAGTTTAGCTAAATCAGAAAGCAGGTCTAATTAATCAAGTTTATTCTATATCTATAAAAGGCTAAGTTGACTCGCACATGCGCGATACATATAAAACTCTTGCTGGCGTCAAACACACACGTGTATTTCAATCTATCATTATCGATCATGAATTTGGTTGACACTTCTATTATAGAGAAAGGGTGAATAGCGATATTAAAATATTTCTTCTAATTAATTTCCTTTTAATATACAAGAATTTGTGCACTGGGCTCCTAGTATAATGATAATGTTGGATTACTTTAAGAAACAAGAAGATTTTTTTATTTTATTAATCAATCATTTATCAATCAATGTAATAAACCACACCAACAGATTTAAGAATATAAAATCATGTCAACTGCTGCAGAAAAATACATTTGATATATTTCAAGCAACTATTTATGACAAAAAGGTAGAAAAGAAGGAAATTACCTCTATCTGATCATAAGCATCTACCAAAATTTTGGGCGAACATCATTCTTAATAGGGAAAAGTTAAAAACATTCCCTTTAAAACCAAGAACAAAATAAAGAGTGTGTATGATCACATAAAATAGACAAATAAATAGAGCACTTTATACTACAGGTGCTAAACAAACCTGACACTATCATTTCCTAACTAGGAGCCTTGCAAGATTACAGGCTTACGATTCTTCCTCTTTTTATCCATGGGAATTTTCATCTTATATTTGATATCAACTGTTATGTTGGTTTTCACTTTTTAAAAAGTATTTGTTATTGCTATGCTTTTGGAACAGAAAGCAAACCTTTCATGTATCTGTATTTCATTCATGACAAATTTTTGCCTAAATGTGTCCAGGAAAAATAGATACTATTACAGAGTTCAGTCTGTGACTATATAACATGCAGAATAATCTATAGAGGATATGATACATAAATCTTCCTAAAAAGGCGCATAATTACCTTTCCCTCAACTTCAACTCAAGCAACAGTGATGCATATTTAAAAGCCTGTAATACCTTAATGCATTCGACTGTTGATTAAATGTGAAGTTTCTTTTTTCATTGACTTAAACATTGCTAACAAAGGCACTATGATAATAGAAGAATTTCATCTTCTCCCAGAGGAAATCTCTCATGATTACTTAAATCAAGCAAAAACTTCCAAGTCATACATACGGATAAATGGCTTCTTGAATGTTTCCGAAGACCTGTTTCCCAGTCATTATGATGGTCAGCTGGGTGGTCAGTTCTATTAGGCAGCCTCCAGGGTCACACTAGTTAGAAGGGAAGGGTGCAAAGAGAAGTGAATGACGAAAGACAAAACATTTGCAGTGAAATAAATCCAGAGGATAAGAATCTGAAGATTTGGGTTGAAATGGATACTAATGGGATATAAAGTGATATTTAGCTCAATAATCCAAGCATGATCACAGACTAGTGCTGGGATAGCTGCATTAGATTCAGCTGTGTTAATAAAACATTTGTGGATCTCATTCTCAGAAAATTCTGCATCTTTATGTCTGGGTTAGGGCAGAAGTTGTTATTTTTCTCCATGTGATTTGGATGCACAGCCAGATTTGTGGACCACTGATCTGACCTAGCTCACACCCATGGTGGAGTCCTCTCTGCTGTACTTTGAGAGAGTTATCATTCTTCCTTTGCAGGAAGCCTTCGGGAACATAGAACTCACTTATTCCATTTTGCAGCTCATTTTTTGATACCAACAATAAGAAAAAAATAACTTCTTGCCCTAAAGGAACAGGGAGATCTATTAGATGACAGAATTCTAAAACCAATATTCTCTGCAGACAGAGTTAGTATCTTATACTTTTCTTCCAATTTGAGTAAATTTGAGTCTGTGCTGGGCACAAAAAAAGGTATTTGGTTAACACTGAGTTATTGAAAAAACAAACCTCGCTTCTCAAAAGAGTTCTTACCTCTTCACTTCTCCACACATTAAACAAATATGTGTACTTTCCAGGATAGCCCACAAACTTCCCTTTAAAGAAAGCTAAGTAGAAGCATGATGAGTAAAAATTTACAAACTGAAACAGGAACATTTTCAAGGTCAGGCTGCTTTCATACTCCTGGTAAGTTCGAGGGATTTCTGGTAAGGAAAAAACACCAATGTTTAACAGTGCACTTTCCTGTTTCTAATGAAAGTTTTTAGTCCCTGGGATAAGTGGATGTCTAGTCACATTTTTCTGTGAGCCTGTTGAAATGTTTCCCACTCTGGTCATAATACACCAATACTTAATTATAGACTTGTGCTGGGCTGCCGACTACAGACTTTTTGTGTTGATCTAATCACCAGAGGAGCCTAGGAAGTGGTCAGTGTTACATTTAGAGGGGTGAGATACTTGGCCTGGAGTCGCACAATCAGAATATGGAATTCCCATCCATATCAGACTGAAGAGCCTGTGCTCATCCCCACAACTATATATCCTGTAAACTTGGGAGATTTCACTCTCTCTTTTTTTCTCTCTCTCCTCCTCCCTCTTTCTCTGTTTTCAATCAGGTTTAAGCAAAGTAAGCTCATACCAAGGGCAGAGGATAATTTGCAAACCAATTTGTGTTTTCATTTCATGAATTAAATTTATATATATAAAAGACTAATATGCTAAGTGTCCCTCCAGCTTCTATGATGCACACTGACAACCAGGGGGCAGATGCTTAATGCAGGAGCTGTCGAGCTGCAGTGACTTGGCAGCAGCGGTTCTCGGGTAACACACCCCGAAACCAGAGAGGAGGGAGCCCGATTCCTCACGGGGCTGAGCGATTCCACCTTCAGCCATGAGTTATGTTTTTGCTGGGGCACTGTTGGCCCTGAATCTGGATTACTGCCCACTTGCATTTGCATTCCACACCCTGTATGACAGCAACTTTGCAGAGTGCCCTCTCACACTCCAGGACTCCTTGGGGGATGTTGGAGAGCGGGTTTCGGCCCGATCCCCACAGGCCAGGCCAAGGGACCCCACCTGCCAAAGGGACCTCACTCACTCCATAGACACCTTTCAAGTGATGATGCCACCCCAGGTGTGGCCGGCCAGGGAGGGACCGCGGGAGGTTGGCTCCAAGGGTTGTCTGGCCCATCTCGCCCAGTCTTGCCCCACCGGCCACCTTCTAATTAATTTCCTTTTAATGTGCCTGAATCCATGCCCTGGGTCACTAGTAGCTATATAAAATTTTAAAGCCATGTCACACAAATGGTGGCAGTAATAGCATATATTTTCCTTCTCCTTATTACGATCTATCATTTAATGAATTCCAAAATAAGAAAATATTAGATTCTCTTCATGCCACAGTAAAGCATCACTAGGCATAAAAGAACATGTTTTTCTGAGCTGGTGATCTCCCAATTCAACCAAATCCATGACTTTTTCAGTGATGCTGAAATACACATATTATTCTAAAGACACAGATAACACCTCCATTTTAGGTGCATTCTTACAAAATCTCAAAAGTGAACACAAGTGCTTTTTCTCATAGAAGAAAGCTGCTATTTTTAAGTATTTTACTTTTGGGTGTTATCTGCTGTGATATTTTTGTTGTTGCTACCAGAAAAATACAAATATAATTGAGGGAAGAACTCCAAATTGGGGGGTCATAGTTAAAGAAAGTGGCTGCCCAGTGCTCACTCCAGGGCTGGGCGGAAGAGGTGCTCTATTGGGTCCCATTGGGCCTTTCAGGGGGCAGTTTAGAGGAGGAGCTCCTGAACAAAGAGCACTCAGAGAAGAAGCTGAGGCCTTGAGCTGAGTCTCTGATCTATTTCCAACTTGCTGGGGCACGATCAGGAGCAATTATGCTCTGTGCTATTCTCCCTGGCTCAGTCTCCCACCTCACCTGTGGCCACTTCACTTGAGACTCTTTCACCTGTGATGCCTTCACCTTTCCTCATGGCTTTAGGGCAGTGGTTCTCAACCTTGGCTGCACATTCGAATCACCTGGGAATCTTTTTAAAATCCTGATTTCTGGGGCTCATCCTCCGGAAATTCTGTTTCTTTGTTACTAATGTTGTGGCCCCACCCCATAACAAAGAAACAGAATTTCCGGAGGATGAGGCCCAGAACTCAGGATTTTAAAAAGATTCCCAGGTGATTCGAATGTGCAGCCAAGGTTGAGAACCACTGCTTTGGGGGGACATTCAATATCTTAAATAGAAAATAATCTAGATTCTAAGATATTGCACCTGAAAAGAGAGGCACTACATTTCAGATTTATTACGGAGAAGCTGATTGTTCTCATGATGTTTTTAAAAACCAAATACCTTCTAAAAGTCATATACATGAAATAAAAACTCTCTTTGCCTTGAGAAAAGTGAGGATTTTACTTAGGATTCAACTAGCCCAGTGATGGCAAACCTTTTGAGCTCGACGTGTCAGCATTTTGAAAAAACCCTAACTTAACTCTGGTGCCGTGTCACATATAGAATTTTTTTCATATTTGCAACCATAGTAAAACAAAGATTTACATTTTTGATATTTATTTTATATATTTAAATGCCATTTAACAAAGAAAAATCAACCAAAAAAAATGAGTTCGCGTGTCACCTCTGACATGCGTGTCATAGGTTCACCATCACTGAACTAGCCCCATGAAAGGACAATTAAGATAAGAATACATAAAAAGATCTACAAAGTCCTAATTCTTCTTTTTAGTTCGTCATCTTGCTTCCATTATGATGGCCTGGATATAGCGGTTAGGGCATTCTGAAGTACCAAGCTATGGGTCTACCTATGGAACCAAATTGCCTTAAAATGTGCTTTTAAAAAATTAGCTCCCTGGGGGATGACCCAGAATGAATGTGTAGTGTTGCTAGTGACCCTTTTTCAGAGCCATAGTAAAGAGTCAGCTTACCCATCTTTGTAATCCAGACGGATATCTTTTCATAAAAGAAATTCAAGATCAAGATGACAATAAAGTTTAAGCATGACCCAGAGAGTGCTGTAGCTATCTGAGGAGTGAGAAAACTTTTGACATGCTTTAAGGATGCTTCAGTTTCCATGAATCTGGAAAATGTAGCAAAGACTGACAGGCGGTACACGATCACAGCCACCAAACAGGCAATGACAAGAGACATCTGCAGAAGGAAAACAGAATTGGTCACTCTGGTCCTCGTATTATGTCTGTAACATACTCTTCTCTTCATCTCATTCTGTTGGGCTTAGCAGCTCTGACATGGAAATGAAACCAAGTCTCTCCCAACACCAAAGGCAGGAAATGAACACTGGTAAGGTAAAAGGGTTAGAGATAAAGCATATGGTAGTGAGGTAAGTCTAAAATGGAAAAGTATTCATGGTCCATACTCTAGCAAGATATAGGAAAACTAGCCAGAAGGCCAAATTCTGCCTGTTGTCTTACCAGTTTGGCATGGCCCTCGAGTTAAGAATGTGTTTTGCCTGACTGGTGTAGCTCAGTGGTTGAGTGTAGGTCCATGAACCAGGAGGACATGGTTTGATTACCAATCAGGGCATGCCCAGGTTTCAGGCTCAGTCCTCAATAGGGGGCGTGCAGGAGGCAACCAATGGATGATTCTCTCTAATCATTGATGTTTCTATCTCTCTCTCTCTCTCTCCCTCTCCGTTCCTCTCTCTGAAATCAATAAAGACATTTTTTAAAAGAATGTGTTTTGCATTTTTTAGGTTGTAAAGAAAGATAAAGAGAATTATGTGCCAGTGACTGGCCCACAAAGCCTAAAATATATCTGGCCTCTTTACTAAAAATGTTTGCCAACTTCTGATCTAGATTGTAGTTAAACATGTAGCATGAAGATGACTTACTTTCCCAAGAAAAGTACATTTAAAGATTGTATTTCATTTCCCCTCAGAATGTTGCCATTAGTGGCCTGATAAACCAGACAGTTCAGATATTCGCATCTGTTGGGTATAAATTTTGTATACTTCCCATATTGCAAAAAACCCCCACAAAGATGTGGGGATGGCTTTATATCAATGATTGGGGAATTTTACTCTGAAAGTTGAGGAACTGAACCAAATTGAATAAATAATAGAAATAAAAGACAGAATAATCTTTCTGGACACCACTTCAGGATATTTCTCTAGGAGTGTCCCAAATTGATTGTCACCTCCTTTATTCTATGGTCTTTCTTTAATGATTTTTATATTATCTAAGAAAATGCAAATTTAAAATAGAAAAGTCAATACTTTCCATAAGAAATGTTAAAGGTAAGAAATTATGAACTGGTGAAGTTAAGCTGTAGTCTATAATTGCTAATTTTTTATACTTCAACATGCTAAACTCTCAGAGGGTAACATACTTCTTTTTCTAAAATTAAAGTCCTAGATCTGTGCCTACACACCTGCAGCCCTGCATTTCCACTCGGCCTTCTCACACCTGCCCTGGTTACACCCAGAACACCCCCTGCTATGAGATGCCTCCCCGCCCCACCCCCCCAACTCCTGCCCCTCACCTAGAGCTTATATCTTTTACCTCCCTCTTGAAGGATAAACCTGCTCTCTGCCCATACACTGGCCCAAGGGCTTCCCTGACTTGGGAGGGAAGAGGCTACTGATGTGTGTGTCTTTTTATGTTAGGTTGCCATTTTGCACGTCTACCCCTTTCCCACCTCAGCTCTTTGCCTTATCTGTGTTACTGTCACTTAAGCAGAAATACAGCAACTGTTTGTATCAGAAAAAAAAAAAAATAAATAAAATAAAATAAAATTAAATTAAATTAAAGTCCAATTGTAAGAAGGAACACTTTTGGAAAAGGGAGGGCAGGAAATAGATTATAGTGATTGAGGACTCATTAGCTGAAAGGCATGGAGAAAACCTGATTCCCTCAAAATGGGATATAATAATTAAATTCTTCACGTAGATGAAGTAACATTTTTCTTTTGTGTTTTCTTCTCTTTGTGCAAATATTTTAAGTGGAGAAAAAGATAAACTAATGATTTTAAAAAAACCCATAATAAACTAGCCAAATAATTTGCAATAAATTTGGGAAAGAGGGAGGGACAGGCTCTAAGATAAAGCACCTCTCTCTCTCACCCTAACTATTTTTCCAAGATTCAACTATGGTGCATCCATGTAAATTACAGTTTATTTTATATAAGAGCTCTATTTAATATAAAGACTGTGGAGAGAAAAGGAAGGAAGGGGCTTGAGGGCTGTTTCAGATTAAACTGTTGAGATAATCCTAATGCTTTTTAAAATGCTTACCCATAACGTTACTGTGGCTCCTGATAAGAAGTACCATGGGATCCGACTCTTCAGAGGCATGTGAGGCTCCATCTCCTATCATTTTGAATAAATCACAGCAAAATTCAGAATCTACCCACAATTTTGGGATTCCAAGTAGTAGTCAAAATCACAAAGACCAGTTAAATAAGAAACTTCCCAAAACCTCCCAAAAGGGTCCAGTACAGCTCATGGGAAGCTGCATTTTAACAATGGTCCCTCCCCTTTAGGTAGAATACTTCAACACTCTTAGCTGAGATATTTTACATGTGATATGAGACATAATGAGTACACACTATTTCCTGAGTGTTGAATTAGAGTGGTATTCAAGTAGATAGGAAATAAACACTATTTCCTGAATGTTGAATTAGAGTGGTATTCAAGTAGATAGGAAATAAAGTCAAAATCTGAGGGCAGTTGCTTAAGTAGACACTTTAATGATGTTAAAATTCCATTAGAGGCCCCATGCATGACATTCATGCACTGGTGGCGGTGGGGTAGGGAGGTGGGGTGGCATCCCTCAGCCTGGCCTTCACCCTCTTGCAGCCCGGAACCCCTTGGTGCGATGTCTGACTGCTGGCTTAGGTCCAATCCCCGTGGGGGGCGGGGCGAGGCCGGATATCCCTCTCACAGTCTGAGACCCCTCGCTCCTGATCGCCTGCCTGCAGCGGGGGCAGGAAAGGCTCCAGTCACTGCCCCTGTGCTAAGGAGCGCCCCTCCCCCTGTGGGAGCACTCTGACCACCAGGGGGCAGCTCCTGCATTGAGCGTCTTCCCCCTGGTGGTTGCATCATATCAACCAGTCATTAGGCCAATCAATCGATTTGCATATTATATATAGGTTTTATTGATATGACTCTAACTCAAATGAATTAAGTTGAATTTCATTGCTCTGTAATTGCTCTGCATGATATTAAACAGGATGCCTTCTTTATATTTATAGGATTTCACAAAGTTCAGGGGCCCAAACTTTTCCATTTTTAAGCTTGTTAAGTCATTAATGGAAGATATTAATTAAATCAGCTAACATTCTTAGCTACATAAAGAGTTAGATTTTACCCCAAATAATACTGCCATATAGAAAAAAAAAAAAAAGCAGAAACCTAAATTATATAATTCTATTTAAAATAGAAGATTTTGCATTTTTTGGTATATTTTTCTGAGTGGAAACAGAAATCAACAGTAGAGTATGCTCTCTGAGAGTTCTACTGTACCTCAGGATGTGTGCATGTATGTGGATGTCAACATATGAATCAGTGTTCCCAATATGGACTCAAATGTGAGAATTCTGGTTGTACTTAACCACTAATAAAGCACAGCAAGTAAAAAAAAATTCTGATTACAGCTAAGTGGATAATTACAGCTAAGTAATAAACCATTTCATGGAAATCATTACAGCTAAGTGGATAATTCACAGTGAACCAATACATACTGTTGTTGTTTTTTTCAATTGGTTTGAAAGGTAATCATTCAGTACATGTGGCTTTCATGTCAAAAATTTTTGGCAAAGCCAATAAGCCTGCCTTAATTTTCTATTTTATCCCATGAAATATGAATAGATATATGCTGGGGATGATGAACAGCCTGTGAATGATGGATGAACAGATTACTTTGACACAGTTTCACTGTGAAAGAGAGGGCTAAGGGATGGCCTGGCCAAAGGGACCAGGCAGCCTAGATTGCCTGCCTTGTTAGCCTTTTATTGTAACAGCAGTTTGAGATAAATTTATCTTTAAGATACAATCAGTAGGATGAGTACTCTTGAGAGGACACATGTATTTACATTGTCCTCTATGCAAGGGTATCCAGGGATTAAGCAAAAGGATTCCAGTAAACACCCCGGGGGTCTGCTCCTGCACAGAATTGTTTGGAAAGATTAAGGAATAATTAGGAGCACTGCCTTGGGCACTCCCCTAAGTCAGAATTCAGATAAACAGGGCAGGCGGCCTTCCACACACTTCCCTTTTCTCAGATTGTCCTCCTTACAATTTTCCAACCAAGTCTCCTGTGCTCCCCAACAGATATACATAATATTGAGGAGGAAACTGGTCTTGCAAGGAGTGTCAGGCAAAAAAAACTGTGAACAATGCACTGCCCTCGGGTGGGCGGGGGAAGTTTGTTATCACTGGCCCCAGGACAGGTCATCGGATATGGCCTGGGGACCCCCAACACCTGGGGCCTTCCTGTAAGCCCATGAAAGGGGGCAGAACCATATCTGCAAGACAAAGACCCCAGAAGGTTATAAAAAGTGAAGCCTCTGCATGTTTCTTCACTCTGGTTTGGAAATTATTCCTGGAGTCCACTAGTGTTAATAAACGGGGTCCCTCCCTTACTCTAGGAAGTGTGCTTGGTATTTCTTTGGTCTTCTGCTACAATATCATTAGTATGACAATATCACTTGTGATATAATTTTATAATTTCAAACTGTTAATTTCACCCAAGTTGTTAATGTATTTCCTCAGGTGTTCTTCCCCCTTTATTCATTTATTGAATTTTGTAATGTTTCAATGCAATTTAATAAATGTTAAATGAATGCCTAAATTATGTAAAGAATTTTGAGTATTATGCTGCAAGAATAGTGTGCTGAACAAAGTAAGGAATGCTACTAAAAAGACTGTGTTAGAAACATATTATTTTCTGCCTTTAATAGCATCTGGTAACAAAGTGGTTACAGATTATGGAAATGTAGGGACTCTAAGAATATGCAGCCAAGAGTCTAGTGTTTGATGGCAAAGTACCTTCTATTTTCACATGAAAAAAGGTGCCAAGAAGTCAAATTACTCAGTCAGCCACATAGCTGGTTTGCCAGTCAAGGATCCCAAAATACAGACTTTCACCCCAAATAGCAGTGCAATGATTTTCCTATTATAATCAATTAAGAGAGACTAGTTGAATAAAACAATCACTCCTAAGCCCACTATCTTAATACAATACTAATTTTTCCATATTATCTTTAGTTCCATGTATACATATTTATACACATATTTAAAGCCCAGAGCATACACACTGTTTTCCATTTTTTTAAAATTGCACCTGGTATTAAAATAATGTCTTTCATAATATGATTCCTTGGATTTACTTCAAAATAATCCAGTGGCCACAAGGAGTAGGTGTATAAATAAAACAAGATTGTCCATGAATTAATATTAATTGAAGCTGTGTGATGGGTTTCTCCTGGAGTTCATTTTACTTGTCTATCTACTTTTCTATGTGTTTGAAATATAAGAATAAATAGTTTATATGATTTATATGTTGGAGAATACTTAAAGGCAAATTAAAATAGACACCATTATTTGAGAGACAACCTACAGCAATGAGCCCATTGAGGTAGGATGCTCATTTCAGTTTCCTAATCTACCTGAGTCACAGGATTAATTTTCCTCTTTTTACACATGGCTTCAAATTCTGGCCTCAGCTGAAGCTGCTGCTGCTCCTCCTCGAAGTCTACCAGGTCCCAATCACACTCCAGTCTGGCTTGACGCTGTTTCCAAAACTCCAAAAACAATGTGACTATAGGAAAACAAAGTATAAAAACAAATACAATTATGAGATGGAGAAATACAGCGAATAAGAAAATAACTGAGTTTTCCTTTATTTTGATTTATTGTATTTTTAATAGAATTTATTAACATTGGTTAATAAAACTATATAGATTTCAGCTGTGTAATTACATGATACATCATCTATAAATATATGTGTGTTCACCACCCTAAGTGAGGTACATAGTTTTCCTCTATTTTTTGGTATGTTTTTATTAATTTTACAGAGAGAAAGGAAGGAAGAAAAAGGGAGAGACAGACAAAATGACAGAAAGACAAACATAACTGTGAGAGAGAAATATTGATCAGTTGCCTCCGATCTCATCCGGGGATCAAACTGAAAGCTAGGTATGTGCCCTAACTGGGAATCGAATCCACAACCTTTTGATGTACAGGGCGATGCTCCAACTAATTGAGCCACCTGGTCATGGTCTCTATTTTTTAATATCAATTTGGTTGCATGATAGCAATTCTGTCACTATTATTTGATGATAGATTTATAAAATTCTTAATATTAACATAATTATGTAATAACATTGAAATGACTCATGTACAAAATTTTGAGTTAATTCCTTAGACAATAGTCCATGCAAGAAAAAATTCAAGTTAAGTTCTCTCTCTTCATTAAGATAAATTGAAGGAATAAACTTAACTTTTTATTAACAGCTAGATTTTGTTTACAAAATCAGTCTTTTACTGAAATTATTTAGTCTTTTAGTGAAATCATTCAAGCATTATACCTTAGTGAAATTTAAGAAAAATGTAAAAGCCATTTTATAATACATTCTCTCCCCTCTCTCTAAAATATGTATTTCATGTTCATTGCAGCATTATTTTCAATGGTCAAGTCATGAAACAACCTAAGTGTCCATGCATGGATGAATGGATAAAGAAAATGTGGTTTATATAAAGAATGGGATAATATTTTGTCATTAAGAAAGAAAATCCTGCCATTCTGCAACAACATGAATAGGCCTTGAGGATATTATGCTAAGTAAGATAAGTCATACAGAGAAAGAGAAATACTGTATGGTCTCACATGTGGAATAAAAAAAAAAAAAGGCAAACTCATAGAAACAGTACAGTTTGGTGGTTGGTGATGGTGGGGCAAATGGGTGAACATGGTCAAAAGATATAAATATCCACTTATAAGATTAGCAATTTTGGGGGATATAGAGTTAAAACTATATAGCATGGTTACTATAGTTAAAAATAATGTGTTATATATTTGAAAGTTACTAAGAGTTGATCTTAAATGTTCTCATCACAAAAATATTTGTAACTATGTGAAGTGATGTTAACTAAACTTACTGTATTAATCATTTCATATATATATATATAAACTCAATATATTGTAAACTTTAATAAAATCTTATATGTCAATTATATCTCAATAAAAGTAGGAGGAAAAAGTGAGAGAGACCTAAATACCCAACAATAAACAACTAGTTAAATAAATTGTAAAAAGTTCATAAAAGTATAATAAGTTCATCTATTCAGGCATAAATACACATACACACACACAACAAATGTACATATTCATTCTACAAAAGGAGTCCCATAATTCATGTTTGTTCTATAAAAAAGTAGGCTTAAAATTACATATAATACTAGAGGCCCGGTGCACAAAAATTTGTGCACTCAGGGGGAAGGGGTCCCTCAGTTCGGTCTGTGTCCTCTTGCAGTCTGGGACCCCTTGGGGGATGACCAACTACTGGCTTAGGCCTTCTCCCCAGGGGATTGGGCCTAAGCTGGCCATCAGACATCTCTCTGGCAGCCCGGCAGCCCTTGGGGAATGTCCACTTGCCAGCGGGGAGCAGGCCTAAGCTGCAGTCGGACATCCTTAGTGCTGCTGAGGAGGTGGGAGAGGCTCCCACCACCACTGCTGTATTGGCAGCCATCAGCCTGGCTTGTGGCCGAGCAGAGCTCCTCCATGTGGGAGCTCACTGACCACCAGAGGGCAGCTCCTGCATTGAGCGTCTACCCCTTGGTGGTCAGTTTGTGTCATAGTGACCAGTCATTCCTAGTCTTTCTGCTGTTAGGGTCAGTTTGCATATTACCCTTTTACTATAAAGGATAGAGGCCTGGTGCACAGGTGGGGGCTGGATGATTTGCCCTGAAGTGTGTCCCGGATCAGGGTGAGGGTCCCCACTGGGGTGCCTGGCCAGCCTGGATGAGGGACTGATAGCTGTTTTCAGGCTGGCCACACCACCTTTAGGGTGGGGGTCCCCACTGGGATGCCTGGCGAGTCTGGATGAGGGGCTGAGGGCTGTTTTCAGGCTGGCCAAGCTGGCGACGGAAGCTCCCAGCCTCTTTTTTTCTTTCTTTTTTTTAATTCTGGGATTTATTTACCTTCTATAATTGAAACTTTGTTGCCGCTCCAGCTCTGAGGCCAGGGCCTGCTGAAAGCAGATATCTGGGGTTTGTTTAGCTTCTATAATTGCAACTTTGTTGCTTAGAGTGGAGCTCAGAGCCGGGCCGCGGCAGACGGGGAACCTTGGCTTCCTCCATCACTGGAGCAAGCAAGCCTCCTGCTCGCTTCAGCTACGTGGCTGCCAGCCGCCATCTTGGTTGGGTTAATTTGCATATCCTGCTGATTAGCCAATGGGAAGGGTAGCGGAGGTATGGTCAATTACCATGTTTGTCTATTATTAGATAGGATTATATCATTTATGTAAAGTTATATGAACACACACCCACACAGATAGGATAAAAGATTCTGAAAAATCATGGCCAGAATAATAATTCTATTTCTGGTGATTTTAACATAATTGTCTTTCTGTTTCAATATACTACTTGAATTTCCTAAGATGAATATTTATTTTCATTATAAACATGCCATTTTTTTTTAAAAAAAGCATTCCTACCCTTCAGTACAGAGCTTAGTATGCATTACTTTCAGGTCTCAATCCCTAAAACGAGTGTTGTTTTCTCACATCTACTCTGCTAACTCATCCTGTGATTCAGCTTAATTGTGAACTAGTATTTGTACTAAAACAAACATCCTGAAAGTTCTGTTTTCATGAAATTTGGACAAGATCCTCAAAAACAAAAGCTAAATCAATTCACTGCTACAATAAACTTTTCTGAAAGAACTGAAGATAGCACCTCCTCAAAATACAGTGTTGCTGGGAGCTCTGCATATGGTTGCTCTTCTATTTGTGATGAAATATAGAGCTGGTGGAGGTACACAATCTCTCTTAATGGAAACAACTGAAAATTACTAAATATGTTTAAATTTGTGCACCTATCCTTCACTTCTGATTCCAATTAACAACAGAGGCAGGATTTGGCAGCCACATAATGGAGTGCATCTCACAACTTACCAAACTTGGGGCTGCTGGAGAATTATAAGATTTCTCTGTCCTCTCTGCTTGTTGAACCTGGGTGGTCTCTCTAGACCACAGCAGCCAGGCGGAAGTGACAAAAACCCTTCAATCCCTCTGCTTCTCATACACATCAACACATTTTGTTGTCTTTTTGCCTGGATCAAGCTACCTTGTCCTTTGCCCAGTTTTTAAGTGCACATATTTGTGTTTGCTAAATATTTTCTTTATTATTCAGGAAAAAAAGTATATTTTTTCCAAGTCCTCTGAATTTTGAGGCATGTTTTAGAAGTCTGCAGGATTTCCTATCTGATGGTAGAAACAACTTCTTCACACTTCTACTTCCCATGTGATATCCTGGAATATTTCTAAAATTAAGGGCTATTTCACTTTAGATCTACTTCCAGATCTATTTGAAAGATTTTATCAAATAGATCTGAAAGCTGGCACTAGAATTAGCCACAGGGAACTTAGATTCAAACACCAACATATTAACCCTCTATACCTTTTAAAAATTCTTATTCTAGTTTGTTTCCATGATTCAATATCCTCTAACTACCAAATATTTGTTTATTCTCTCCTGAATTAACTACTTATTGACCCTGATTTTTATCATAGTTCTGGGAAACACTGTGAGCTGAACACATATGAAGTTTAAAAAATTATGTTGTCTCTGCCTGACCAGCATGACTCAGTGCTTGAGCGTCAACCTATGGACCAGGAGGTTATGGTTGGATTCCCTGTCAGTGAACATGCCTGGGTTGCAGGCTCAATCCCCACTGTGAGGTGGGCAGGAGGCAGCTGATCAATGATTCTCTCTCATTATTGATGTTTCTATCTCTCTCTCATTTTCCCTTCCTCTCTGAAATCAATAAAAATATATTAAAAAAATAATGTCTCTCAGAAAAAGGAGCAGGTGATTATAGAGGTTTTTTTCTTCTTTTTTGACCAAGGATCAAGGATTAAAGACCATTGTTTGGAAGCCATTAGTGTATTGATGCTAGATACAAATACCTGCATCTAAAATCACCTTTGGTATGTTATACATATGGGCCATATACCACAAAACATGGAGAAAGCTATTTTTTATGTGACTGTATACTCACCCCAAATTCCCATGAATATTGCAAAGAATACTGTGGACTCATTATCAAATAAATGAGAGACCTGTAAAAACAAAAATAACATCACAAAGACAATTTAGTTTCCAATGCAAAAGGAGGGAAATTACATTTTACCAAAATACATACATACCTTTGAAGACAAACATGTAGTATTTAGTCTCCAAAAATCACACAATAGGTCACAGAGTGGGCACATGATAATCTGACCTCCAATCTCAGGGTCACAGACTTCAATGCTGCAGAGGGAACAGCAAAGTTATCTTAAAAGTAATGTGTGTTTGGGTGAGAGTCCAAAGCTATTCTGATCAGAACAACTTTTCATAGAGCTTCTCATATGGCAGAAGGGGGAGTGAAGCAGCAATTTCTTCAAGTTAGCTTTGAAGAGCAAAATCTTTAGAACTAGTCCTTAAAAACAGATTCTTCATAAAATATCTAGTGAGGGGGGCTGCTTGGGTCTTATTCAGAAACATCCCTGATCTGCTGCCATAAAGAAACATTTCAAAACAAATGCCAGGAAAAATAATAACATGTTTCAATTAGCATAAGATCAAGACATTCTCTCTACTTTGGCAACTCAGCTGCACTTACCTCGTTGTGCTAGAATGAATGGAAAATAAGCCATAAATAAAACAAGCTAAACCAACTACAGCTGCAAGGACCAGCATTTCTGTGTAAAATCCGAGAAAGACAAAATACATGCCAATTTTTTCTCCAAAATAATTCCTGTAAAAGAGGATAAAAATAGAATCAGAGGTTGAAAGAATTACATAGACCAGACAGCCTTTGTTTTGCATTCAGACAAACCTTTATTCTAATTTTGGCTCCACAATTTTCTGGACGTATAATTTTGGAAAAGTTACTAAACTCTCTAAACTTTAGCTTCCACGCCATAAAATGCAGGATGATGTTTACCCGAAGAATTGGTGTAAGGATTAAAAGAGATAACATATCTAAGTAGAAAGCCAACTGAAAGTTAAGTTTTAATTTTGAAATAATACAGGAATTTGAAAAGTTTTTAAATTTAAAGAACTTTGCATGTTTGAAATGAAACGGAGAACATTCTGCAATGTAATTTCTAGCACTTAATTTAACAACTCAAAATGACATGCACAATCTGCACAGATTTGTGCTTTATCTCTCTTTCTGAAATTGAGGAAGTTACTCTGACCATCTATTAAGGAAGAGTGGTTGTATTTACAAAGCTCCATTTCCCCCAGGTTTGGATCTCTGATGGATACAGTACTATAGAATTGTGAGGCAGGCAGCACACCACAGGATTAAAAGTGACTGCTCAGTAAAAGTTCCATAAAAGATACAGTTCAGCTCTTGCTTACAAAGAGGTGAAGAGTGACAGCATTACTTGGCATAAATGTTAAAGTCTTACACCAAGCTTTTTGTTGTGGTTGTTTTTTTAAAACCCAGTACCCCTTAAAGAATCCTTCAAGAAACCTGAGAACATAGATCAGCTCACCAAATCCATAAATTCTTTCCAGTTTCCTAATAGCATGCTATTTATAAACCTATTACAGCACATAATATAAAATTGTAGTAATTTCAAAAAGAAGGCAGATCTGAATATAAAGGCATAACCTTAATTTCACAATGAGAAGATTAAAAAATTTTCTCATAGTCAATATTAATTTTATTTAACTTCCCATTCTTCAGTTTTCAAACTGTATAATCATTTCAAATTAAACAGGCATCTTACTGTTTGCACCATCTTTCACTCTTTTCAGTGATATTTTTGCATTGTTGTTTTTTTCTTTTTCTGCTCTTCAAATGACTATAGACTTAAAAGTGTAATTATATCATATTCTCTTATTAATTTGCCACCCTAATTTCCTGAGGTTCCACTCACACTTAGGATGAATAAAATCTTGCTTTTTTCTCCTGTTTTCTTTTTGCTAAAAAAAGCAATTATTGTAATACTGCATACCATCAAACATTTTTAAAAAGAGAAAAAAATTGATTTTGTGTGGTATTTACTATTTATCATGTCTATTTCCATTTGATGTTTTAAAAAACACAGAATCAATCATTTTTGAAGACATAACTATTACTGTAAAAATTCTTCAAGAACTCATAGAGAAAGCTGAGTATTTAAACAAGCTTATTTTTAAAGAATTACACTTTCCTCCCTTTCAAATAGCAGAATCTTATTCCTTGAAAATAAAAAAGTCCTCAAGAAATAAAGTTCGTATAATGATTTACAGAAACATTAGTTTATATGCTCCAGCTATCTTTTATCCTTAAAAGTTTCCCCTTATTTAGCTTAGAGAAAACTGTTGTGATAACATTTCAATTGATTTGGATGTTTGCATCAAAATCAGTCTCCTAAAAAGGATGCCATACAAGCACTGCAGTAGAAACATTAATCACCAAAACAATTGTTCTAATCTGATTATTCCTTTACTGAAATCATAGCAGGAGGCCCCTAATATCCTGTATGTATGTAGTATTGTAATGGTTTGAAGCAGCAGCCTGCAGCCATAGTCTTCTTACTTAACTAATAAAACTGCCTGAGAAATTGTCTGAGAGCATGGAACTCAGACAGGCTCAGACACTAAGCTTATCAATTGCCTGAGCCCAAAAATGAAAGAAGAAAAACAAAACAAAACAAAAAGAAGTTATAGAGCAATTGTCTTCACACACAGACACACACACACACACACACACACACACACACACACACAGCTATACACAACCTTTCTGCTATCCTCTAAATTCCTGGAATGAGAGGAAAACAAAACAAAAATATTATGTATTAAGCAGTAAGTGCTAGTTCCTGTCCTAAAAACGTATATCTCATTTAAGAATGAAATAACCCCAAAAGGAAAGTACTAGTCATTCCCATTTTACAAATGAGTGTCATAGATGTTAAGAACTTGAACAAGTTTAGATAGCTTCTAGGAGGGAGAACTTAGACTTGAACCCAGCCTACCTAAATACCAAGGCCCAACCTCTGAGCCACTGAGCTATCTCTGCAGGGTGGTTAATAGCATTCTGGTAACAGCACTGTGTTCACAAAGGAATGACTAAATGATAGTGTAGATACAAAATTGGGAAGGTGTAAAATATGGTGGGTAATAGTAGTAAAAAGAATGGAATATGATGCCACTGTAAATAAAAATCACATGATCAAGTTTTAATCATCAGTGTGATCTTATGTAAGAAACTTACCTAATCAAGTCGAAAGGCTGCTCCTTGTAAAAATAGGAAAACCGAGCCCAATTCTGGAAAAGTATGTACCTTTGGTTAGCAGGATTAGGAGGTTCTGATGGCTTCCAATATTGACCCTACAAATATTCAAGAAGAAAGTACATTAACGACCAAGCAAAAAATGAGGGTGAAAAGTAAACCAACACAGCTTTTATGAGGTAAGTGAAATATAAAAGTATTTTTGACCTTGTTTTTAGACTGGGATTTTCATGTAAAGTGAATGAATGTGAAATTATTTACTAAAATCTATAATCCCATATAATAAAAGGGTAATATGCAAATTGACCAAACAGCAGAACGACTGGTCGCTATGATGTGCACTGACCACCAGGGCCAGATGCTCAATGCAGGAACTGCCCCCTGGTGGTCAGTGTGCTCCCACAGGGGGAGCACCGCTCAGCCACAAGCTGGGCTGATGGCTGGAGAGCGCAGTGGCAGTGGCGGGAGTCTCTCATGCCTCTGTGGCAATGCTAAGGATGTCCAACTGCGGCTTAGCCCCACCCCCTCGGACATCCCCCAAGGGCTCCCAGACTGCTAAAGAGTGCAGGTCAGGCTGAGAGACCCCTACTCCCCACCCTCGAGTGCATGAATGTCATGCACCAGGCCTCTAGTAAACTCTAATAGTGATTTATTTATTAAATTCTCACACCCAATTATTTAAAAATGCAAGTTTCAAGGCTCTGGCTTTACTCAAGCTATTCTTTTCACCAGGAGTACCTTTCTGCTCTACTCAAATTCAACATAATATGCACAGCTCAGGATGCATATGAATTATATACCTGGCTGGGACTTTAGAAATAAGCTAATACTTTCATTGTAGATAGTATTGAAAGATAAACTGCAAGAGCAGCTAATTGGGTGATCCAAAGTCATACTGCTATGACAGGAATCCCCTCTAGGGAACCTGTCTTATCTGCACTGATATCCATTTCCCAAAGAACTTAAAATCTATACAACAAACTTTAGCACTTAAGAGCCTCAGTACTGCTTCATGCCTAAGTTCTCTCTCCACTGTTAGGTATTGTGCAGGGTTATTAACACCCCTCAGCAGAACACGGCCTACCCAGCTATTCAATATGTTCTTTGTAACTGCTCGCCTAGACAAGTGAACTGCTCAAGACAGCAATAAATAAATACCCAATTAAGCACATGTGAATATCTCTATGTGATAATGTGTAACATTTTATATTATCCAGATTCCAACAGTTTTCTTCTTCTGTAGTTAATCCTACTGAATCTTGAGGACTGAAATAGAAAAAGAAGCAGCCTATTTACCTGTGTATCTGGAAAAATGATTCTCTAAAGTACATAAAGGAAAATCCAGCATATAAACTTTCAGGGGGAAGGGAATTCAGGGGGAAGGGAAGAAATAAAAAGTAAAATTAGCCCTAACCAGTTTGGCTCAGTGGATAGAGCGTTAAGCTGTGGACTGAAGGGTCCCAGGTCCGATTCCATCAAGGGCATGTACCGTGGTTGTGGGCACATCCCCAGTAGGATCTGTGCAGGAGGCAGCTGATTGATGTTTCTCTCTCATTGATGTTTCTAACTCTCTATCCCTCTCCCTTCCTCTGTGTAAAAAAAAAAAAAAAATCAATAAAATATATATTTTTTTTAAAAAAAAGAGATTAACAGTAAATTAAAGCTCTCACTAACAATGCTGCAGTAATACTGGTTTTCTAATAAGCATACTGGAAGGCTAGATGTATGGATTAACATTTTTTGGTGATTGAGGATATTTGATCATTTTAGTTTGGCTTTATGAACTGGGATTAGGAAGAGAATTAATGCTCTAAAAACAAACAATCCTCAAAATCTTCAAAGAACTGAATGAGCCCTTATGTGAAAAAGACTGACAAAAAAAAAAAATGCATTGCCAATGTTCATTAACCTATTATAGATCTCTCTATTTATGTCTATGGCATTTTTTAGAATTCATAATCTTCTAGAATTTATTTTGCCCCAGGGAAAAAATATGGGAGAAGGGAAGGGGCAAGGCTTGGAAGGGTGGGGAGGATGGTTTCGCCTGATTGATACTCCTGTTGAAAAGAGTATTCATTCAGGGAAAATTCTGCTGCACCCTTATAGAACCGTACCACAGATAATCGACTAACCATCATTGAACTGACGAGAGTCAATTAGCATGTTGCTGAATGAATACTGACAGATGACAGTTGGCACAACAGTGTAAGTCCCAGAACAGAGAGAGCTTGGCTTTGGGTTTTTCAAAACTACAACAACAACACTGCCTTCAAAAACATGAGCAATGACTTAGATGCCACCTGTTTATTTTATTTTATTTTTTTCAATTTATTTATTTATTTATTTTATTGCTTAAAGTATTACAAAGGGTATTACATATGTGTCTTTTTTTTTCCCCCCGCCCTTGACAATCCCCTGGCCTCCCCTACCCCCCAGTGTCTTATGTCCATTGGTTATGCTTATATGCATGCATACAAGTCCAGATGCCACCTGTTTAAATGGAAACACTTGGTTCTTCTATATTCCTAAGGAATGTGTTTCTCCAACAGAGAGCATGTCATTAAAAAGTCATCTATAAGTATGGAAGAATAAAACAGAAATAAAATAAATAAAAGTTCCAAGAGATGATGTCAAATAGTTTACATATGTTTAGCCATGTGATTTCTACTTCCAATGGGTGGTGATATTTAGACATGTAATATCTAACAGGAAAGTTTTCCCTCAGAAGCCCCCAGAAACTAGGCTGTCAAGATTTCAGGTTTGGTTGAACGGGGCATCATAAAAAATGTCACTTCCTCATTGATCTTATAAAGCTCAATAATTTTGTACAATGATCTGACGGCCTCAAATAATCATTCTTGTGAATTTCAGTTATTTGTCTGAATCTTTCTTATGGACTGACTAGAGGCCTGGTGTACAAAAATTTGGGCACTTGCGGGGGGGGGGGGGCATCCCTCAGCCCGGCCTGTACCCTCTCGCAGTCTGGGATCCCTCAGGGGATGACCACCTGCTGGCTTAGGCCCGCTCCCCAGGGGATTGGGCCTAAGCTGGCAGTCAGACATCCATCTGGCAGCCTGGGAGCCCTTGAAGGATGTCCACTTGCCAGCGGGGAGCAGGCCTAGCTGCAGTCGGATATCCTTAGCGCTGCTGAGGAGGTGGGAGAGGCTCCCACCACCACCACTGTACTAGGAGCCGTCAACCTGGCTTGTGGCTGAGCAGAGCTCCCCCATGTGGGAGCGCACTGACCACCAGGGGGCAGCTCCTGCATTGAGCGTCTGGCCCCTCGTGGTCAGTGTGTGTCACAGTGACCAGTCATTCCCAGTCATTCCGCTGTTAGGGTCAATTTGCATATTACCCTTTTATTATATAGGATAGAGGCCTGCTACACAGGTTGGAGCCAGCTGGTTTTCCCTAAAGGGTGTCCCAGATCAGGGTGGGGGTCCCGCTGGGGTGCCTGGCCAGCCAGGTTGAGGGGCTGATGGGTGTTTGCAGGCTGGTCACACCCCCTTCAGGGTGGGGGGTCCCCACTGGGGTGCCTGGCCAGCCTGGGTGAGGGGCTGATGGCTGTTTGCAGGATGCCCACAGCCCCTTCAGGGTGGGGGTTCCCACTGGGGTGCCTGGCCAGCCTAGGTGAGGGGCTGATGGCTGTTTGCAGGATGGTGAAGCCCCCCCACCCCCAGTGGGGACCCTCACCCCATGAAGTGGAGGTTTGGCCAACCTGGGTGAGGGGCTGATGGCTGTTTTCAGGCTGGCCACACCCCCTTTAGGGTTGGAAGTCCCCACTTGGGTGCCTGGCCAGTCTGGGTGAGGGGCTGAGGGCCGTTTTCAGGCTGGCCAAGTCCGCCCAGCAACAGAAGCTCCCAGCCTCTCCATTTTTTCTTTTTTTCTTTTTTTATTCTGGGATTTATTTACCTTCTATAATTGAAACTTTGTAGCCTTGAGAGGAGCTCAGAGTTGGCCAGGGTGGGCAGGAGGGACGCTTGGCTTCCTCCATCGCCAGGGGCAACCCACACCTCCTGCTCGCTCCAGCTCCGTGGCCACGGCCGCCTCTAAGCAGGTATCTGGGGTTTATTTACCTTGCATATAGTCGCTCTGATTGGCTGGTGGGCATGGCTTAAGGCATAGCGAAGGTATGGTCAATTTGCATGTTTGTCTTTTATTAGTGTAGATGTCTTTAGCTTGTTTTGAAGTTGTGTACATGCTTTATTTCCCAGAAATTCCTAGTCTACGAGTGACTCATTGATGTCTTCCAATGATACCTAACAGAGTGCTTTATATACAATTAAAACAAATTATTCCTTTGATGACTAAATATGTGCATGCATTAAGTGCATTCATGTAATTTAACTTCTTTACAGCTTTAAAACTTTATGATAAAAGATCTGATAAATTCAGATAGAAATTCCAAATATTATGCTCTAAAATGTTTTACTATAACTGCATTTTCAATATGGGTCCTAAAAAAGTCATGTGCCAATGTAATAATTTTCCCCAAATGAATTTATTTCCATTAAAACTTCAGTGTGAAGAAATGTTAACTCTATTTCAGAGTACTTGTAATTATACATTCTCTCTCTGCCTCCTCTCAGCTTGGAACTAGGGTACTTTTGGGGGATTTTCCCAACACATGAGAGAATTAAGCAACCTGTCAAAAAAGAGAAAGCAAAGGGAAGATTCTCTCTCCCAATAGGGCAACATCTGAATGTGTGAGAGGGAAAATGGGCTCAGTATTTCAAAACCAAACTAAGACTTACATCATGGAGTGGATAGGCAGCTGAATAAGTGTTAGAAGTCAGCAGTCTTTCAATCCCAAACTTTTTCTTCCCATCTTCAATGCCAAAAGGACATCGGGTAAGAATATAATAAACCTGTAAGATAAGCATAAAGAGGCACACATTTCATAACTATGCTTTCCACATTTTTGTCAAGCACAATTTAAAAATGTCTACTTTGTCTGAATGTAGATAGGGGCTCTGATTACAGAAAGAACCTTCCCTTTGTTGTTTGGGGGAAGAGGTGGAGGGTGGGACTATGTGGAGTTTGCAGATATTTCAGCTCCTGGGTATGAGAGCCTATTCCCATAGGCAGCGGTTCTCAACCTGTGGGTCGCGACCCCTTTGGCGGTTGAACGACCCTTTCACAGGGGTCGCCTAAGACCATCATGAATATCAGATATTTACATTACGATTCATAACAGTAGCAACATCACAGTTATGAAGTAGCAATGAAAATAATTTTATGGTTGGGTCACAACTTGAGGAACTGTATTTAAAGGGCCAGAAGGTTGAGAACCACTGCCTTAGGGAGAGTGGAGAGTGAATCATAACTTATTTTGCTTCTTATTTCCCACAATCCTCTGGAAGTCTATTGTGCCAGAATTCCTGCCATACTTAGGGCTCCAAGTTGGAGTCTAATGTCAACACCACCAATTCAATTAGGGGAATATAGAGTAGAAATGATATTTGGACAAGCTGTCTCAAATACTTCTTCGTTTAATTACACTGATGATCTATTTTCCCTGTTATCTGAATTTATTAACTCAGATTATCCTTTCTCTATAATTATTGTGTAATCACTCATATCTTTAATCAGTTTTCTCCTCTATATACTGTAGACTTCGGTGTCTTCTGCTATATATGTCTGTCAATTCAATCTTACCTGCTTTTTGTGTTCCAGCAACTTTTCAGAATTTCTGCCTTTCTGATTGTATTTACATCATTATTATTTATATCAGGTTCTTAAATTGAGTATTTAGTAGGGGTGAGTTCAATTAAAATAGGTTGTATTTAGGACAAATAGGAAAAAAGCCAGCCAAATACAAAATTTAAAAATCCGGTGGGACTTCAGATATTTAAAGTTAATCTAGTACACCAAAAACTAATACAATGAGCCCACTTAGTGTGCCTCAGTGGTTGACCATCAACCTATGAACCAGGACCTCATAGTTTGATTCCTGGTCAGGGCACATGCCCAGGTTGTGGGCTCAATCCCCAGCATGGGGCATGCAGGAGGCAGCCAATCAATGATTCTCTCTCATCCTTGATGTTTCTATCTCTCTCCCTGTCCCTTCTTCTCTGAAATCAATAAAAATATAAAAAATAAAAGAAGTTTTATATTTTTGGATAAAGACAACTAACCCAGATAAACACTTCAATTACCAGTTGAATTTGTGATGAACAACGTGGCAAATGGTTCTGTCAAATCAGAGTAGGAGGTGGGGGTTATGAATATTCTTTAAGTCATATGAGGAAGGGTGGTTCTCTATGTGAGCAGTTTCCCAGAATGAGAACAGTGGGGGTTTTCTTTAACTGTCCCTGTTTTCTAAGACTACAGAACACAGGCAAAGTTCAACATTGTCAGCACTGATACAAAAATAGACAAAGAGGTCAAAGGCATAGAATCAAGCCCCTCAGGAGACCCATGCCTATACTATAGATATGTGGGTTATAATAAAAGTAGAATTGTAAGATAGTATTAAAAAAGTCTGAGTGTTTTCAGTAATTGGAGCAAGTTAAATGACTAAATATACGGGGGAAAGGGACTCCATCTCACACCACACACAACAATTTTTTCCAGGTGGATAGCGGTTCTCATTGTGAAAATCAAAATAATATAACTCATAGAAGATAATGTCGGAAATTAACTGCATGATCTTGTTGGTAAAGTTTAAGAGCATTATTTATAAAGCAAAGGCTTGAGACAGTGGACTACATTGAAATTAAAAACATCTGTTCAGCCCTAGCTGGTTTGGCTCAATGGATAGAGCATCAGCCTGCGGACTGAAGGGTCCCTGGTTCGATTTCAGTCAAGGGCTCATGCTCGAGGTTGTAGGCTTGATCCCCAGTAGGGGGCAAGCAGGAGGCAACTGATCAATGATTCTCTCTCATCATTGATGTTTCTATCTCTCCCTCTCCCTTCCTCTCTGAAATCAATAAAAATATATTAAAAAAACCAAAACAAAGAAAACACCTGTTCATCAAAAGCAACCATTAAAAAAAAAGAGAGAGGCCCTAACCGGTTTGGCTCAGTGGATAGAGCATCGGCCTGTGGACTCCAGGGTCCCGGATTTGATTCTAGTCAAGGGCATGTACCTTGGTTGTGGGCACATCCCCAGTGGGGAGTGTGCAGGAGGCAGCTGATCGATGTTTCTCCCTCATCGATGTTTCTAACTCTCTATCCCTCTCCCTTCCTCTCTGTAAAAAATCAATAAAATACATTTAAAAAAATAAATTAATTTAAAAAAGGGAGAGAGAAGCACAAACTAGGAAAAGATCAATAAAATATATAATAAATGGAAATAAAAACAGTTGTTACAAATCAACAAGTGAAGACTTAATTTAAAAACAGACAAGAGACTTTAGCAGGGATTTCATAGAAATGCTTTATCTAAATGACCAATAAACATATACATGCAGATCAATCTCCTTTCTATCAGAGAAATGCAAATTAAAACCATAATAAAACACATACACAATTTCCATACAAAACAACACAAATAAATGGGAAGAAGCTTATACAAAGCTAAGTTACCCATCCGAATAAATGCTGAGTCAAATGCTGTATGATTCTTTTTTTTTTTTTTTGCTTATTTGTTTTAATTTAAACTGATCTCTGCTGTGAGAAATTACAGTTGATCTCTGCTCCAGAGAATGGAATAGTGATTGGGAGAAGGCACTAGGGTTTCTGGGGTGTTAGAAATATTTTCTCTTTTGATGTGGGTGGGGATTACATGGCTGTGCATTTTGTGATAACTCAGTGAGATGTACATTTATGACTTGTGGGTCCTTCTCTATTTATGTTACTAGGATTCTAAATTAGTACATCTTTTTATAAAGCAGGAAAGTGCAGTCTGTATAAATTTTAAATGTGTGTGCATTTAGATTCAGAAATTTAATGTGGTATCCATTTTGCAGAAAAATTTACATATATGTTCAGATATGTAAATACTATGCTATAAAGGGCAGAATTGTTTGTTATATCAGAAGAGTTGGAAACAAACTCAATGTCTGTCAGAAGTGGAAATGTTTAATAGAATTATGTTACATTTATATAAGATGTTACAAAATGCAGATTGTGAGGGGCATATGTCACATGGTTGTGATTATATTTTAAAAAGTATGAAATTCCATACCAATGTAAATGCTCTTGCAGTACTGTTCAATCTGTACATACATAAACTATAGTGGTTGGGATGAAGTTAGTAAGGAAAGGACTTTTCTACATTACCCTCCCAAATAACTTCTTCAACAGAGCAAGAATAGTATTGCTTTATGAGAGGAAATTATTGAATTTTAAAACTAAATTAACCTAAGGTACTGACACTCTTTACAAACAACAACTACAGATGAATGAATACTGACATTTCTGTTCCTGATCAAGTTCCTAATTTGTCCCTACAGAGTCACTGGTCTTTTGTTAGCAACTTTTCAGTGTCACAGGGATATCTGAAGTACTTCACAGTTTACGAAGTGTCTCACAGACATTCTTTTACTTCATTTTCCCAATATTTCCAGTATTATCATTCTCTCTATTTCAAAAGAGGTTATATATTTAGAAAGAAGCAGACACATGACCTGAAACCAGATTTTCTGATTCCATGCCATGTGCTCTTTATTTATTTACCTATAGGCTGCCTCCTAGGTTTGTTGTTGTTATTTAATCCTGTTAGAAAAGGGGACACAATTTTTAGTTTGTAGATTCATACCATTATACATTAATTCTAGGCATTACATTTTGTTTAATATTTCTTTCCACGAATTATTAAAAAATAGAGGTAGGAACTAGAAAAACTGTTATTTTAAAATCCTTCTAAGACACTTAAAAGTACTGAACCTAAAGGGAATGAAGTCTTCAATTGCTCAGGGAAACAGAGAAAGTAAAATCAAGGGAAGGGTCTTTTGATTGTTAGAACCTTGGTGACTACATTAATATGCAATAGAGAGAAGGTATAAGAGCAACAAAGAACCTGCATTTTTCCCCCTCTAAAATCACACCAGTAAAAATAATATCTAACACTTACTAAGCACTTACTATGTTCCAGAAACTGTTAAAGCCTTTCATACCTAAACTCAATTCTCAGGGTAATGAGAGGTAGATATTATTTCTATCTTAACACAAAGAAACTATGGCACAGAAATGTGATTCTTTAGAAGAGAGGGTTTGAATGGTGAACTTAAAGATCCTAGAACTACAAATGGAGAGGAAACATTATTATTGAAAAGACTAAAATAGTCTTAATGAAAAGAAAAAGTTCTGTGGTTTCTCAAATGCTATCCTATCTAATAAAAGACAAAAAAGGTAATTAACCGTACCTCCGCTACACTTCCCATAGGCTAATCAGTGAGATATGCAAATTAACTGCCAACCAAGATGGCAGCCAGCAGCCACGCAGCTGAAGCGAGCAGGAGGTTTGCTTGCTCCAGTGATGGAGGAAGCCAAGGTTCCCCACCTGCTGCGGCCTGGCTCTGAGCTCTGAAAGCAACTAAGTTTCAATTATAGAAGCTAAACAAACCCCAGATAGCTGCTTTCAGCCGGCCGTGGCCATGGAGCTGGAGCGGGCTCTTAGCTCCAGTGTCGGCAACATAGTTTCAATTATAGAAGCTAAACAAACCCCAGATACCTGCTTTCAGCCAGCTGTGGCCTCAGAGCTGGAGTGAGCAGGACTGCAACAGAGTTTCAATTATAGAAGGTAAATAAATCCCAGAATAAAAATAAAAGAAAGAAAGGTGAGGCTGGGAGCTTCAGTCACAGGCCAGCCTGAAAATGGTCCTCAGCCCCTCACCCAGACTGGCCAAGCACCCCAGTGGGACCCCCACCCTGATCTGGGACACACTTCAGGGCAAAGCAGCCAGTCCCCACCAATGCACCAGGCCTCTATCCTATATAGTAAAAGGGTAATATGCAAACTGACCCTAACAAAAGAAAGACTGAGAATGACTGGTCACTATGACACACACTGACCACCAGGGGGCAGACGCTCAATGCAGGAGCTGCTCTCTGGTGGTCAGTGTGCTCCCACATGGGGGAGCTCTGCTCAGCCACAAGCCAGGCTGATGGCTGCCAGTATATCGGTGGTGGTGGGAGCCTCTCCTGCCTCCTCAGCAGCCCTAAGAATGTCCGACTGCAGCTTAGGTCTGCTCCCCGCTGGCAAGTGGACATCCCCCGAGGGTTGCCGGGCTGCCAGAGGGATGTCTGATTGCCAGCTTAGGCCCAATCCCCTGGGGAGCAGGCCTAAGTCAGCAGGTGGTCATCCCCTGAGTGGTCCCAGACTGCAAGAGGGCACAGGCCGGGCTGAGATACCCCCCCCACCCGAGTGCACAAATTTTTGTGCACTGGGCCTCTAGTCTATATATAAAGCATTCCATTTCCATTTGGAACAACCAGTATTCCTCCAACTATGCACTAATTTAACAAAACCAAACTCTAAGATCATAAAACCATTTTGAAAATATCTTAAATAAGTCCTATTCTCAATTAAATGCCTTTCCCAGCATTGCATGATGTCTCCTTCTTTACTATGTCCACAATGGCCACCATTCAATTTTAAACAATAGTTTGAGAAGTAGGGAGGTTAACACACTTAAGTGGGCCAAGTGAAATTTCAAACATGCCCAATACCACTAAATAAATTATCAAAATTTCCACAGAAACACCTGCTGACACCGTATTGCCCATGCGCACATATAAAGGAAAACAAAGGTACACATCCCTTACTGGAAGGGATATGCCCAGATGGCTTCTCTACCTACAATTCTGTTTCTTGATGAGGATGGAAAGAAGCTTGACTTGTCCTCAATGAGGAAGAGTTCCTGGCGATGTCTGGTAAATTGGACAGTGAAATAATCCGGATCAGGATGCTTTACATTCTTTGGGAGCTTCAGAGGCCCAAGAACTAAGGAGCTTTCCTCCGGTCGCAGAATATCACTCTCCTTAATTGGCCTTTTGACGCCCAACACTTCAGCATAAGTAACTAATACCTCCCAAGGGGCATGGATCTTGACAAAGTAAGTTCTTCCATCTTCAGAGTTCTATACAAAAAGAGGCAAAATAAAAGAAAGCTGACTAATATGTTTATTACTGAGCTAATTAAGGAAAAGAAATGGAATTATATAAAAACACAAATTAAAGATATCACAGCATTTTTCAATCTACTGAAATTCAGCAAAACTTTTAGAAGAGCAAATGCTCAAGATAGTTGTATACTGTATATATAGGTTTTACATACAGGGTGTCCCAAAAATGTATACACATTTTGAGTAATTAATTCCAATGGGTTAAATCTGAAAAGAAACATCAATTGTGTTACCAGCTGTAAAATATGAATACATTTTTTGGGGACTGTGTGTGTGTGTGTGTGTGTGTGTGTGTGTGTATGTATGTAGAGAGAGAGAGAAAGAGAGAGAGAGAGAGAGAGAGAGAGAGAGAGAGAGAGAAAGAAAGAATATTTTAAAATACATATTTCAGTGTCAATGTATACTAGCCTGAAATCCACAGATACATATGTGTTCTGGGCAATCTCTTAAGTATTGACTTAGCAACTAGCTATGTGCTTAGGGTATATGTGGAACACTTAGGAAGTATAAGATGCAGTCACTCTTTTTCCCTAACTTCTATGTATAGCCCAAACTTAGAGCATGTATAGCCTACACTATTTTTTCCTGCAAAAGGCCACTTGGATATTTATAACATCACTCAAGGGCCATACAAAATAATCAACTTAAAATTAACCTGCTATATTTGATCAAACATTTAATTAACTCACCCCTAATGCCTTGGCAGGGCCAACCAAATCCCAAACCCTGACCTAGAGGAAGTACTTCAGAAAATAAGGGTTCATTAAACAGAAGAATGGTTATGTTTCAGTTATAGAGTGTGTGGTTTAATACATACTTATTAGTTCAGTAAAAACAGGGACAGATAAGAACTAACGAGTGTAAACTTAGAACTAAAGAGTATTAGAGTTTCATAGACAGAATAGAAACTTAAATATGGCTTAAAAATAATTTTGAAGGAAATTCTAGAAAAATAGTAGTGGGTTAGAAAAAAATTGTGTCATAATCATGAGCAGAAATGTTCCTTGTCTTAAATATCAGCTAAAAATTAGCCAGGCTAACTAGATCGGATGCCAGATTATAGGCAGCTTTCAAAATGAGAAAGATATAAAACAAAAACCATGTCTTCACTTTCTTCATATCCTGAACAGAATTATTTACATCTATTTGTCAAGTGTTCCACTCATCATCTCACAGAGCAAAAACCAACTTACCTGAACAACCACAGGTATTACCATTCCCAGTGTACACATTTGTAGCCAAAAAAGAAAAACTAATGTATTGCTCCCAAGACAAGGTTTATCTAGTCAAAGGCCAGAGTAGAAGAAAAGAACATTTTAACACCAAGGTTCTGGTATAAATTAACTACTTTACCCTTTTGTCTTCAATTTCCAACTCAAGACCTGTTTTTCTGAGGTTTTCTTCAAACGTTTTTCTTCTTTCCTATGGAAAAATGAATCAACAGAATTATGCAGAACATTTCAATTTACACCATGATAGACTTATTACATAATGAAGATGCCTCTGAGGGTCCATTGCCCTTCCTATGGTTTCATTTAAAAGTACTCTATGTAGAATCCCCATCTCAATGTCATGTGCTGATTTTCACCAGGACTTTAACTCATAAATAACTAGAAAATTCCAATATATCTAAGGATAATCTCCAGGAAGTGTGCAGGATCTCTATCTGAAAAAAAAAAATGCGCAAAACTTTACTAAATAAGAACAAAAAATAGAGAAACAGATCATGCTCCTAGTTAGGAAGACACAGTATTACAAAGCTATCAGTACCCTTCAAATAAATGAGATACGTAAGACAATTTTAAACCAAAATATCATCACGATGTTTTAATCTTAAAGAATAGAACAGGTTCACTTAGAAAAAGTAAAATTAAATTAAATGCAAATAATCACTACTTGTGGGCTTCAAAACTACGCACTAATTGCTGAAAAAAAACTTTTGGTTTTAATTATGATTTCATTGTGAAAAATTTCATAATAATGGAGATTTTAAAAGGCTTTGCTAGGATGTTAGAGGACACTCATCTTCAAATGGATACCTTGAGATGTAATCTTTTACAAGGAATAAAAGATTCTTTTATATCTTTACTAGTGCCCTGGTGCACAAAATTCATACACATTGAAAGGGAATTAATTAGAGGAAATATTTTAATATTGCTATTTGCCCTTTCTCTATAATAGAAGTGTCCAGCTGGCCCCACCCCCATTGGGCAACATCAAGACCTGGCCAGCCCCACCCCTGTCAAGCCCTGCTGGGCGGGGGATGCAGTCTCAGGTCCCCTGGCCCTGACCCACGCCATGCAGCCTCATCCAGACCCGCTGCGCTGCGAGACCCATCAATGCACCTTCTGGTGACCAGTCGTGGTCATTACAGATGAAAATAAAGCCATGAATTTAAGCATGCACATTCATTTTCAATGCCTGATTTGTCTGCATTCTCCAAATTGCAAAATAAATAAGATCTTCAGCCAGATAGCATCCTACTGCCAAGTTCTTTATATAATGAGACATACCATTCTCTCTGCTCAGTATGCTCCATTTGAATGGATTAAATGTATGTGACTCATGTGAAAGGCACTGCTGCTTGCTCTTAATAGAGGAAGCATTAGCTCATTACCTAATGCCATAAAGTGGTTTAAATGGCATATACTGACTTGAAGAACAGAAGGAAAAATAACAAAAAACACACAAAACAAAGTTCAGTGCTGTGGACGGCAGAATCAGAATCCTCTCCCTTAGCCTTTGATTTTTTTCTGCTTTTCCAATGAACCTGTTTGTGCTCTGCCTCAAAATCAACACAGAAGACAAAATCAGATGCTCTAATCTGCATTTTATAGTGCCATTTGAGTACAAAGAGGTGTTTTTCAATCTTTGCATTTTTTTTTTTTTTTTTTAATCAATGCAGCTCAAACTTGCTCCCAACGTCCCAGGAGGCAGGCCAACATGGCTATGCGGACACACCTTTGCTAGGTGCTGTCAGGCTTCAGGGCTGGGGCAGGGAACATGCCCGGTGTTGCTGGAAATGAATGAGCTCACCTCTCTACATAGCAGGAGTCTTTTCATTATAAAATGCAAAGCAGCAGCCATTTTCCATTACCCCCATCCCCAGCTCTCCTCGCCCAGGGGCATAGGAAGGGGCTGGGAAGATATTTACTCCCGGCTCTTTGATTTCTCTTATTTAATGGAGCCCAGTGAAAGCTGCTTCTCTGAGTGCAATGCCAGCCAGCTGGCTCAGGGCTAGCCACACCTGGAAGGCAAGTGACAGAGCTGACCAGGGACTTTGACCAAGCCCAAGAGCAGGTCACAGCAACCTTGGCAGGTGGGCTGCTCCTGAAGACTCTAGGCCTCTCCCAGCTCCACATCCCAGCTCCCTGCTCTCCCCCTTTCACCCACAGGCTCCACCGGCATGGCGTGCCCCAAGGCGTGGTGTGCAGATGCCAGGGTTGCAGGTTCAAGATGCTCTGCCTCCTCCTGGCACTTTGAGCCATAAGCGCCAGCAGGGACCTTTCCACTCGGTCTTGGTCTTTGGTCACTGCTGAGGTTTTCTGAACTCTCTAGGCCAGGGACAGCCAGGACCTTTGCCTCTGACCAACGCTGTGCCTGCAGCCTGTCTGGGGTACCCCAAGCCCTGGGAAAGCGTGGGGGCATGGCTGGCCTGGGTGAGGGGCCATGGGGGGTGAGGGGGTTGGCTAGCCACCCCACCCTCAATTGGGGTGGGAGAGGCTGATCAGGGGTGGGACCTGGGGAGGGGCTGGGCAGGGCACCCATCTTGTGATGGTGTTATGGCATGAGGGTCAATTTGCACATTACCGCTTTATTATATAGGATTTTTAAAAAGTATTTTTATTGATTTCAGAGAGAGGAAGGAAGAAGAAGAGAGAGATAAAAACATCAATGATGAGGGAGAATCATTGATCACCTTCCTCCTTCAGGCCCCACATTGGGGATCAAGCCCACAACCTGGGCATGAGCCCTGACCGGGAATTGATCCCTGACCTTTTGGTTCCTAGGTCAACACTCAATTACTGAGCCACACTGGACCAGGAAAAGTTATTTTAATATGTCCTTTCCCTCCTCTTCCAATGTTTACTATATGTTCACTACATCTCAGAACAGGCCTGTGGTAATGATGCAAGGTTCCTTTCTCAGCTACCCTTTCATAGTTGCCCTTCTCCTATGTTATCAGAAAAAGACAAACAGGAAACAAAAAAAGGAGAGAGACATTAAATGTATTGTATCATGCCATGGACAGTGTGGCTCAATTGCCTGAGCAATGTCCCACACTGAAATGTTGCCAGTTGGATTCCTGGTCAAGGCACATGCCCAGGTTGTGGGCTTGAGTCCTGGTCAGCGTGTTTGTGGGAAGCAGCTGATTCCTCTCTCTCTCTCTCTCTCTCTCTCTCTCTCTCTCTCTCTCTCTCTCCCCCCTTTCGTTTCCTCTCTAAATAAATAGAAAGATATTTTTATAAGTCTTAAAAATATTGTATCAGTATTGAAAAAGTGAATAATCCTTCTCATTGTAATAACAATTGCTTTTGTAAGTCATATAGCCACTGCTTCTCTGAGTTCGAGGAAATAGGATTGTTAGTTCATAGACCATTAAACACTACTTTTATGATGAATCACTTTGTAATTTGTATGTATAATTCAGGATTTCAAAAAAGATTAAAATTGCTAGAGCAATCATCTTTTATTCCAATCTATTTATTTATCTAGACAAGCTTAATTCACACTAAAAATATATAAAAACAAAAGAGGACTATATTCAAAGCTGAACCATCTCATTCTAGGAATAATTCTCATTCATCTATGAACAAGAAAATATTTTTTCAAGCCCTGATGCCCATCTTCTTAACTGATGCATTTATCATGAGTTTACTTTTTTAAAATAACTTTTTTTTTTTTTTATTTAGACCAAGCGGTGATATTTTATTTATTTATTTTTATTGAGATCAAGTGATAGTATTTGTTCTTGCTTTTTTTTAATATGGAAGAATTAACAGCACATTTGTTTGTTCAAAAAAAAATAGCCCAGTAAAGAACAACACAAAATATAATTTAAATGAGAGAAGAAAGACTTGTAAGAGCAATATCCCTAAGCAGGCATACGGAGAAGTTAGTATTATAGGCTTGAAAGTGCTATTCTTAGAAAGGCCTGCCTGCAAGAGTGGCGCTCAGGTCTGAGAACTTGGCTTTCGGGAGGATTCCCACAACTCCCAGAAGTGATAAAAGTTGCTTAATTTACCTTAACTGTTTATATAAACAATACCATTTATGCTAATCATTTGCTTTCCATCTGGGACTATGACATGTTAGTGTGTGCTAGGCAGAAGGTGAGAAGGTGACCAGCCCCCAATAATATCCTAGGGCACTTAGTTTTTAATGAAAATCCCTGGTAGACAACAATTCACCTGTTACCAGAGGAATTAAGTGCATTCTGTACCACTCCAATAAAAGAAAAATCTTGTGAGCTTGCACCTGTTTTCCTCTGGACTTTGCCTCATGCATTATTTCTATTATTTCAGTGCAATAAAACATGGCCATTGCATATGACTATATACAGTACGTTAGTATCCTTCTAATGAATGACCAAACCTGGGGGGTGGTATTGGTGACTCCGGAATAGTAGGCCAAAAGAAATGGGATCCAGGGTACAAGTGGAGGTGTTGGCTGTAGGCAGAATAATAGTTTTTCTATGATAACAGGAAGAATAGTAGATTATGCAGGCGAAGATGCTGGTCAATGGACAGATGTGAACGGAAATTTAGAATTTCTCTTCTACTTACTTTAGTTTTCCCAGTGAAACAGAAAAGTATGGTCAGCTAAGCTTGAAAATGGGGATGAGGAATTGGAGGTGAGAGGAGAGAGAAAAAGTTGAAAAACAGTCATCAAGGAAAGTAGAGAGAAAAATAGAATAAGCAAGTAAAGTATGACTGCCAGACAGTATTAAGGACCTAATATTTATTGAGCATCCATTATGCTCCAACCACTGTCCTAGGCATTTGGGCATAGAGCAATGAACAAGACAAAGTCCTTGGTCTTATGAACTTAATTTATGGTGTTTGACACAGCAATTAAGTAAAAAAAAATAAGTAAGTTCAGAAAGGGACATGTTATAATGGAAAGAAAAATAAGATAAGGAACAGAGCATAATCTAAAGGAGATTTCAGATAGAGTGGATTAATGAAAATTGAAACAAAAGTTGCATACAAAAATATACATTATGTTTAGACATATAACTCAAATTTTAGAGGTAACAATTAACATTTAAGCTAAACTATATAAAAATAGAAGTAACTTTGAAGAGGAAAAAGAAGTTAGTCTATAAAATGTCCACAAAATTGAACTGATCTTACACATTCATTCATTCTTAGGCTGCCTATTTTGTAGTCCTCTAAACCAGGTTCAGCTTTCGGTAACACTTCAGAGGCCTCTGAGTTTTGCAATATAATTCATTGGGAACATACCTGTCCAATTACAGAATGTGCTTCTTTCTCTTATTATCATTTCTTTCACATAAGTACTTACCATCTTTATTTCGGCTTCTTTCTTTACTTCATCAACATAGGAAAGCACAAAATCGATTCGCCTAATCCCATCTCGGAAGAAGATGGAGTCTTTGCTTTGTTTATCTTTATCAAACTGGAAGAGACATGAATGACAGAACAGTTTTATTTTCAAATGGCAAAAACATGATATCCTTAATCAGCTAAAATTGGGTCACCATTTAATTTTTTTCAGTACTAAAATGACAGTTGAAGACAAGTAACCAGTTTTCATCAACATAAAATTATGCTTATTTTAGAAAATGAAGTTTCATAAAGGAGATGTTTATTAAACAATAAGGATTCCAGATGAAACTGAGTATATTAACAAGCATACACAACAAAAATGATGAAATTATATCCAAAATAGAATGAATATATGTATACACTGATCCCAAAATGCATATTCAGAGAGAGACTTGCTATCTTCATTAAACAACATGCCAATTAGTTCAACAAATAATTAATGGTCACACACTACTTTAGGGTTAGTTAATGAATCTCACTATATTATGATTTCATAAAATTGCCTAACCTATGATTTCATAAAAGGGTTCAAATAAAATCAAAGTGCAGTAAATAATTAGGAAGCTGGTAGCTTGCAGCTGGCTTCACTACAAGTAAAGTCTCATGCAAATCTTTCAATATCAATTTCTTAGACGAGCCAAAATCAATCCTTTGTTTAAATTTGTGTTATTCTCTCGGTATAATAATCAAACTTTCAAGTTCAACTTTCATATGTTGTATAGTTCATTAGTGCCTTCCCTTTCAAAACCACAAGGACACTAGAGAGATTTAGAAAGAAGGAACTTCAGAAGACTGATTCTCTTCTTGGTTTATATGTATTTCTTGGAATAGTCCCATGTAATACTTAGAATGATTCAACCAGATAGGCAGTGGATGTCAGTGATCTCTCTAACTCTGTGTTGCAAAGTTATAATATAGACAACTTTGTTGTATCTAACCTGTGAATGAAGAACTAGATTTTTAAAATTTTCATAACTGGTGTTTATATCAGTTTGTGAATTTCTTTTATGGTACTCTACGCTGTTTTTTTAGTCAAGTCAGGCCAGGCAATCCTCCCATATAAAAGAATGAGTGTAGATCAGTCATGTATAAATAAGACAAACATCTCATGTATGATCTGTGTTTCACGAACAGAGTAATTGCATTTTATCTATATGAACACATAGTTGATGCATCTGCAAAATAAGCAGTTTCCAATGTAGAGAAGGAAATGAGTGGAAAAATAGATTAAGAAACAAAAATATTTAGGGAGTCTAAAGATTAAATATCAAAATATAGTAACTCATATGTTATGTCTGAGTTCTCTATGCTCCAAAAGAATTACACAATCATCTCCCTTTTCCTAAAAGAAAATAAAAAAACCTGAGAAAACTCAAACTGTTATCTTATATACTGATTATAAATCACTAAAAAAGTAAAAGTAAACAAAATAAACCATTTGAGCTCTTTTGTAAATCATTATAGTATTAACATGAAATTCACTGGAACTCATGAAAGCTAACTGGGGCCAAAATAATTGATTAGGATAAATATAATCAAAACAGAAAATAGAGGGGAAAAACAATAATCCTTTTGCTATAAATCTGTGACAGCTATTTTGCATGGTATTTTATAAAAGGAAACAAGATATATTTAAAAGTGCTCTTACTGTTTGGACAAGCTAAATTTAGGTCCATGGACAGTTCTGGTAACAGAAAATGTGCACACAGAAATCAATAAAAATCACAGAGTATTTGACTATTAAGAAATACACAAGTAGCTACAAGAATAGTGACTCCAATTATTTTCCTGAGGGTTCAGGCAAAATGGGTATATACACTTCCCTTCTCTGAAAGCCAAACGGGACATGGGAAAACCCAAACTTCTGTCATTATGTTGTGCCCTTACTAAACTGTAAACATTTTTAAATTAAGGAAAAATCACTTGTAACCTTATAAATCACCATGAGGTATGTGTCAGCACTGTTAACAAAAACTAGTTGAAGCCACTGGGGCAGAAAAACCTGATAATTTTAATATATAACCAGATACTATTAAAACCCATCATTGTTTTGTTTTGCCCAAGACATGACATTAAGATATTTTGCAGTGTGTGTACAAGTTTGTGTTTATATTTGATTTGCTCTTAGAAATGCCTATATATAATGAGACTTTTATAAATCTGGGGCCTTTTCTTTGAATTAGGTAATTATTCTGAACTTCAGAGGCTTGGATTCCTGACGGGGGTTCTGAAATAGTATGTAAATTATATGTATGTTATATATACATATTACACATACACATTTTTAGGAAGAGGTCCCATGGCTTTAATCAGATAAAAAAAATTAATAGTCACCATTCTAAAACTTCAATTGCCCGGGGAAGAGGAATCAGTAACAAAGACCACCCCCCCCACACACACACACTCCAAAATCAATACTATTCTTTGGGATAAAAATGAATTAGACTATCACTGCAGCTATCCAAGCATAAGCAGCAGGATTCAGCACAGCTTTTACCATAAGACGTCGCCTCAGGAACAAATTGTATCTCTTTGCAGGCTGTAAAGCAATCGACAGAGAGTTAACAAATCCTGCACAGGATTAAAGAAAAGATTTCAAATATCATGGAGGGACCTGGAGAGTATTAGGTTAAGTGAAATAAGCTAGTCAGAGAAAGCCAAGTACCACATGATTTCACTTATATATGGAATCTAATGAACAAAATAAACAAACAAAATTGAAACAGACTAATAGATACAGAGACCAGACTGACAGCTAGCTGTCAGAGGGGAAGAGGCTAGGAGGGCTCTCTCGCGCGTTCTCTCTGTCTCTCTCTCTCTGTCTTTCTCTCTCTCTCTCTCTCCCTCCCTCCCTCCCTCCCTCCCTCCCTCCCTCCTTCCCTCCCTCCCTCCTTCCCTCCTTCCCCCTTTCTAAAACCAATTAAAAAATTCCTTTATTAAGAAAAATAAATCAACACTTGAAACCTATATAATCTTATAACCAATGTCACCCCAATAAATTTAATTTAAAAAGATAAAGTATAGTACTGATCATTGCTTACCAATCCTGCTTCATTGAGGAGATAGCTGGTCTCTCTGCTGCTCAGGCTCTGCAATTAGCACCATAAGGAAGATACAATGCTGTTAATAATGATACGAGTGGGGAGCATATAATGTTCAACAACAAAAGCTCTAGCTTCTTTCTGCAGAAATACTAACCCTGCAATTCAGGGGAGCTCTGAAACACCTGAAACTAAATGCAAAACTGTGTTTATAAATGTGTATACATATGCATGTGTATTCATGCAAGTGTGGGTGTATATATGTGTATGTGTGTGTGATGAGAGAGAGCTTGAGAGGGAATGAGAATCTCGGAGGTACCTTCATCAAATAATAAAAACACCACCACCACCTGAGACACAAGAAATGGTTAAGAACCACTATAGTATAGAGAAATAGCAAGGATCTCCATTCTTTTAATGATGCAGAATTCTCAACAGGACCAAGACAAAGGGCAGAATCAATGGGTTATTTTAGGCCTTTCAAACATTTGATGACATTACTGAAACAGTGGGAAGACTGAGCCTAAGTAAATAAATACTCAAAATCCTATTTCACTGATATTCAATCTATCTGCCTGTGGACCTGGAATGATTCCATTAACTCAGATAGCAGCATTGTTTTGGCTACAACCCTCAAATGTTACTATGTTTCATTTTCACTTTTATTCGGTTCAATGTTTTGTTTTGTGTTTTCCTTGAGACTTTTCTTTGACCCATGAATTCTTTAGAAGTATGTTGTCTAGTTTCTAATTGTTGGAGATGTTCCTGTTATCATTCTGATTAATTTGATTCTATTGTGGTCGAAAAACACACTCTATGATTTAAATTATTTTAAATTTGTTGAGGTTTGTTTTATCTGGGCATATGTTCCATAAGTACTTGAAATGAATGTGTATTCTCTTGCTGTCAAATGGAATGGTCTATAAATGGCAGTAATATCCTGTTGGTTGATGTATTAAGTTAATCTACATCTTTGCTGGTTTCCTCTTTAGTTGTGTCCTCTATTGTTGAGAAAGGAGTGAAGTCTCCAGTTGTAATAAAAGACTTGTGTACTACTGCTTTCCATTCTATTATTTTGCTTCATATATTATGATGCTATTTCTTGGCACATATATCTTACCTATATCTTAATGTTGGATGGACACTTCTAATGATTCTATTAATGTACTGCTCTATCCATGATGATTTTCTTTGCTACAAAGTGTACTTTATATATTAATTTAGCACTCCTACTTTCTATTAATGTTTGTATATATTTTCAGTCATAATATGTTTTTAATCCTTAAACTTTCATGTTTTTAATCCACTTTGCAAATCTGTTTTTCAATTAGTGTGTTTAGACTATTTACATTTAATATAATTGATTAGGAATTAATTCTGCCATTTTATTTTTTGTTTTGTTTCCTGTTTGTTCTCTGTGTTATATGTCTTTATTTTATTTTGCATGACTTAATATCAGTTATTGGAACTTTCTTAATAGTTCCATTTTGATTTATTTAAGCAGTTTTTGAGTGTATCACTTTATGTATAGTTTTTTAAGTGGTGGGTTTTCACATTACATTATATACACATTACTTATCACAACCCAAAATGTGTATGTTTTATCTATCAAGTGAAGTATATAAGCCTCATGTCCATTTATTTCCCTGAACCTCTTTATTTATTATCTTAAAATAGAGGCCCGATGCACAAAAATTTGTGCACTTGAGAGGGTCCCTCAGTCCGGCCTGTGCCCTTTCGCAGTCTGGGACCCCTCGGGGGATGACCACCTGCTGGCTTAGGCCTGTTCTCCGGGGGACTGGGCCTAAAGCTGGCAGTCAGACATCACTCTGGCAGCCTGGGAGCCCTCAGGGGATATCCACTTGCCAGCAGGGAGCAGGCCTGGCTGCAGTCAGATATCCTTAGCGCTGCTGAGGAGGCGGGAGAGGCTCCCACCACCACCGCTGTATTGGCAGCCGTCAACCTGGCTTGTGGTTGAGCAGAGCTCCCCCTGTTGGAGCACACTGACAACCAGGGGGCAGTTCCAGCATTGAGCATCTGCATCCTGGTGGTCAGTGTGTGTCATAGTAACCAGTGATTCCCAGTTGCTCTGCTGTTAGGGTCAATTTGCATATTACACTTTTATTATATAGGATTATATAGGATAGAGGCCTGGTGCATGGGTGGGGGCCGGCTGGTTTGCCTCGAAGGGTGTCCTGGATCATGGTGGGGGTCCTGCTGGGTGCCTGGCCAGCCTGGGTGAGGGGCTGATGGCTGGTTGCAGGCTGGCCACAGCCCCTTCAGGGTAGGGGTCCCCCCTGGGGTGCCTGGCCAGCCTGGGTGAGGGGCTGAGGGCTGTTTTCAGGCTGGCCACACCCCCTTCAGGGTGGAGGGTCCTGCTGGGGTGCCTGGCCAGCTTGGGTGAGGGGCTGATGGCTGTTTTCAGGCTGGCCAACTCCCCGCCCCCCCCAGCAGAAACCCTCACCCCATGATGGTGTGACCATCCTGGGTGAGGGGCTGATGCCTGTTTGCAGGCTGGCCACAGGCCCCAGCTACCCAAGCTCCCAGAGAAGGCTGGCTGGAAGCAGGTATCTGGGATTTATTTAGCGTCTATAATTGAAAGTTTGTTGCCTTTTGTGGAGGCTACAGCTGGCCAGGCCAGGCGGGAAGCTTGGCTTCCTCCATCGCCGGGGCAACCAAGCCTCCGGCTTGCTCCAGCTCCGTGGCTGCCAGCTGCCATATTGGTTGGATTAATTTACATATAGTCGCTCTGATAGGCTGGTGGGCATGGCTTGGGCATAGCAAAGGTACGGTCAATAGAGTGTAGATATTTCTCTGTATACATTGAGAACATCAGAAATTGTTAAAAATTTTTACTTCAATTGTCAAGCATAATTTTGAAAACTCAGAGGAGAAAGTCTATTGCATTTAGTCATATTTTTACTCTTCCTGCTTTTTTTCCTCCTTTCTCATGTCTCAATATTCATTTTATCATTTATTCCTGTTAAAGAACTTATTTTGGCCAATCTTTTAGGGTAGATGTGCTGGTAAAAGTTTTCATTAGTCTTCCTTCATTTGAGAATGTCTTGATTTTCTGTTGATACCAAAGGGTACTTTCATTGGCTATATAATTCTGGATTGGCACTTTTTGACCACTTAAAACAATTGTAGCACTTCCTTGGGTTTCTGATGAGAAAGCTACTATAATTTTAATTACTTTCCCCCTACAGTTAAGGTGTTATTTTCTTACTTTCAAGAATTTTTTTTATATTTAGTTTTCCAAACCAGTTTTAGTTCAATTGATGTGAATTTCTTTTAGTTTATCCTGTTTATAGTTCCTTCATCTTCTTGAATCTGTAGGTTTATGCATTTTGACAAACTGAGATATTTCCAGCTGTCCTGGGTTTTCAGTAACACAAATACAAGATCTTTTGTTATAGTCCCATAGGTGCCTGAGGCTCTGTTCATTTTATTTAATTTTTTCCTCTCTTCTGTTTAGAGTAGGTAATTTCTATTCTATCTCCAAATTCAGTGATTCTGTCTTCTATCCATTCCACCTTCTGTTGAGCTTTTTCTAATTCCAGTTATCTATTTTTCAATTCTCAAATTTACCATAGGTTCTTCTTCAAAACTTCTGTTATATTTTTGCTGAGACTTTCTACTTTTTTATGTATGAAGTATGTACACAATTGCTCACTGAAGCACTTGGATGATAGATGCTTTAAAATCTTAATCAGATAAATTCTAACATCTGTGTCACCTCAACATTGGTAGCTATTGCTTGTCTCATCTCATTCAAGTTGATGTCCTTCTGGTTCTTGGTATCATATGTGATTTTTCTACAGAAATCTAAACTTTTAGGGTATGTTGTTATAAGATTATAGATTTTATTTAAATCTCCTGTTTTACTAAAGCTGAAGACTTACTACTAAGTCTTCTCTGACACCACTCTGATGGGGTAAGTGGAGTGATGCCTTACAACCTGGTGGGGGTAGAATTCCAGGTTTCTTTCTCAGCCTTTGAGGATATGAAGGGCTGGTGGAATGGTGGAAGGGTTTCTCATTACTATTGGGTAGGGTGGAAGTTCAATCTTACCATTAGGCCTTCACTGATCCCAACCTGTCTGGAAAGATGCCTCCTTACTGCTCCCTACATGGCTTCCACTGTCACCATGGCAGGGAGTAGTATAGGGATGGCTTCTCCAGTGGTTCTCAACCTTCCTAATGCCACGACCCTCTAATACAGTTCCTCATGTTGTGGTGGCCCCCAACCATAAAATTATTTTTGTTGCTACTTCATAACTATAATTTTGCTACTGTTATGAATCGTAACATAAATATCTGGTATGCAGGATGTATTTTCATTGTTCGCGACCCACAGGTTGAGAACCACTGTGTGAAACTCATGGCTTTCCACCAGGCTATCTCTGACAACAACCCAGCACAAATGAATTGTGCATCTTGTTACTACGGATAAGAGTGAAAGTCCAGGCTGCCCACATGTTCTCCACTGATTCTATGCAGATGAGTATGTGGGAGGGACACATTTTTAGAGTACCTGACTTTCACTGTTAAACCCTAAAACAGTCTTTTGTGATGCTGGATATATTGTAAATCAGCTAACGTATGAATATTTCAAATCAGACTATCCTTACTATGTCAACAAGTCAATAGTTCAATATCAGCGACACTAAAAACAAAAACCCCATCAACTATGGCATATGATATTACTAAAATGCTATAGTTGAATTTTTCTGAGTTTGACAAACCAATTGTAGAGCCTTAAAAATGTGAGCAAAATTTTTTGAAATAAAGTCCTATCTGAGATTAAAGGCAAGGAAGCTATATCCATTGCTCTTGAAATTTGCAAAGGGATAAGGAACAGCATAAATATGACAAGAAATTATTTTTCTGTTATAGAAATTTAAGTCTAGAGTATATATGAATATGAAAGATAAACACAGAAGCCAAGAATGTAAACTGTAACTGCAGTTAACTTGAGAAATACATAAAAATCTGTGAGTATGTTATTATGCCAATATGAACAAAATGACAATATATTTGTTATCACGTAAACTGGTTCAATCTTATAAAATAAATCTTTCCTCAGAATGCTTTAAAGAAATGAAGACCTGATTTTTTCATGTTCTTTATTCTCTAGATACTTGTCTTGATTCACTTAATAAGTATGTCCTAGTGTCACATTATATCCCTTTAGTTGTGGAGACTATTTTATGATAGTGGTTTTCAAACTTTAATGGCAATAAGAATCACTTGGGTGCTTTTTAAAAATCATGATTTCTTAACCTTACCCTGAAGAGTCCTGATTAGTAATCTGAGGTTGGGCCCAAATGTTTTCATTTTGAGGGAGTTTTTCATATAATTCTTATTCAGGTGGTCTACAAATTATACTGTAAAAATTACTGGGCTATATGATTTCCATAGTCTCTTCAGTTTTCATATTCTGTTTCTGTCAGCATTTTGGTCATTGAACTTTTAAAGGAATTGAAGAACTTCTGGGAATCTTTAGTCAACCAGTTTATCCTGCTAATAACTAGCACACAGCCAACCTACTCTAATAGACTTTCTTTCCCAGGGTGAGAATTTCAGTCATTCCTAAATAGCTATTTTTAAAGAAATATATTTTTGGTTATCTTGTTGGTCACCCTTATTCCAATTCAAGGACATGTACCAGAAAGATTACTTTGTCTGAAGTAACTTCAGAATGCTTACATTCTGTATACGAGAAATCCTAATTGTTAGTATCTTATATTCTGTATACGAGAAATCCTAATTATCAGTTTATATAAATAAAATAAGGCTTTTGTTTGAGAAAATTCTGTATTTTTACAAGTAGCATTTAATTTTATTATTTATTATTTTATTTAATATGATTACTTAACTCAGGTTGAATTACTGGAACCTTGGCATAGTCATCAATAAGCACTATTCACATACTAATAATTGTAACACAAAAAGCTGTCACATATTATAACTGCATTATACTCTATCAAAGTGTTAAGCCAAGTACTATTATATAGTATATCAAGTCTTAGCATTCTGAGTTTACTTCATAGGAATCCTGAAAACACATCCAAGCTTGTGTTTACTCCCTTACAACATCTAGAAAGACCCAATAATAAATCTTCATGAAACATGGTATTTGCTTTACTTAATAAAAAAAAAATGACTAGGTTAGAGGACAAAATAGAAAGAATGTAGCATGAGTAAATAGCTGAAGGACAAAGACCTAAGGTATTCATATAAAGTACGTTTCTAACCTAGTCTTAGTTTTTCATTCTGACTTATAGGCAGCTAGTATATATTTAACTTACCTCACTCATTCCTAAATCAAAGTCTGCTTGCCTATTGAGTCTTCTTCCTAAATTAAATAAGAAAGGGAAAAAAAACCACATGTTAAATGGCCAATTGATCAGAATATGTTAAGAGTTTGCATATAGAGAAAACAAGAATTCAAAAATCAAACAAAAAGTTCAAAGAAAAAAATACTGAAAGAAAAATGCCCCAAATATTCCTGGAGCTAAGTTGTTCAAAACAGCCTCCAAAACAAATCAGTGCCGCAAACTGTATATAATCTAGGAGAAAAACACCAAATACCGATATGTAGGATATAATGGCACCTACCAAGAAATAAACTTAACTCTGATAAATGCAGTTATTAAATACATAGGCACAAAACTGCTGAGAGGAAAATATCCTATAGGGATGTCCATTGCTATCTCTTAGTTCTCACTATGTGAGATTTAATATTCTATCAGCATATTTTCCTGGAGTGGACCCAAGTTGGTTGCAAATAAGCAACTTAAGAATACAACATAAGCCCGGCCAGTGTGGCTCACTGGTTGAGCATTGACCTATGAAAGAGGTCATGTTTCAATTCATGGTAAGGGCACATGCCTGGGTTGCAGGCTTGGACCCCAGTGTGGGGGGTTCAGTAGACAGCCGGTCAAGGATTCTCTGTTATCACTGGTGTATCACAAACTGTTTACACTGAATAAAGTTTCCTTCTTCACTGCACCCAAACTGGGGATTCCTGTTGATGGTACTAAAGACCATCAGTTGACACAAAGTATTTTAAAATTCTATTTTTTAAAAGAGAAAGTTTTTCAAGCACCTCCTTCCTCTAGTTATTTTTGCTGTATTTAAAATAAATAAAAATATTTTCAAACTGCTATTGGAACTTGATGCAATATGTTTAGTTGATAATGTAGAAAAGAGATGATATTTTTCCTCCAGGCTATCTCCTATCCCTAGTAGTTCTATCTTATGCTTTGCTTTCACCTTTTGGCTTGCTGCTTTCTTTCCCTAGAACTAACAACTACTTTCAACTAGGCCAGTGGTCAGCAAACTGCGACTCGCGAGCCACATGCGGCTCTTTGGCCCCTTGAGTGTGGCTCTTCCACAAAATACCAACTTCTGCGCATGGGCCACGATGTGTCAATCGCACTGTACATGCGCGCTCGTACGTGGTATTTATGGAAGAGCCACACTCAAGGGGCCAAAGAGCCGCATGTGGCTCGAGAGCTGCAGTTTGCCGACCACTGGACTAGGCTAACTCTTGCTAATTTTCCACATTATAACAGTTTTGATATGTTCCTTTCAGGCCTTGCCAGAAACTTCCTCATCTGTCCCCTGGATTAGCCTCCTACCTCTCCCATACCACCTGAATGTAGCCCTCTCTGGCACCTATCCCAATTACTCTTCCCTCCACTGACTGAAAGCTACCTGAGAGCCAGATGGAACACAAAGATTAAAGAGGAAAGGTGTATTACCTCAGACTATATGCTCACACACACACACAAAGTCAGATATTCGCACATGCCATAGACCCAGACACACTTCCACACCAACTCACAAAGTATAGAATGTAATAACTATGCATAATCACCAAATCCCTGTCAAAACAGAGGCCTATCTGAAGAGTCAGGATTTGAACCCAACAACTCTCAATCAGCTTTTTGTTATTCTTCCAACTGCCTCTAAAATGAATGGAAATGACTATGTTCTTTCTAATGTGCTAGAAACCAGAGACATAAAGGGCTTATATCATTGTGAAGCATCATAAAATATGAGTTAAAAGTAAAGTCAGTCCAAAGACTGAGCTCTAAGTTTTTGCTGAAAGCACATTACTAAGAATACACACTCCACCAAACCCAGAGCCCAAAAATAGCACCTGCATTTACCAAATGATCTTCTCAGTTTACACTCCTTCCAGCTGCGTTAAATAAAAATACACTTGATCCACGCAGGGATTAAAGGCACTGACACCCACCCCCCATAGCCAAAAGTCTTTGTATAACTTTTGACTCTTCAAAAATTTAACTACTAATAACCTACTGCTGACAGAAAGCCTGTCACAGTTGATTAACACATATTTTGTACTAGAGGCCTGGTGCATGAGGGGGGGTGTTCCCCAGCCAGGCCTGTGTCCTCTTGCAGTCTGGGAGCCCTCAATGGATGTCCAACTGACGGCTTAGGCCCGATTCCTGAGGGGATCGGGCCTAAGCCATCAGTTGGACATCCTTAGTGCTGCCGTGGAGGCGGGAGAGGCTCTCACCACCGCCACTGCACTTGCCAGCGTCAGCCTGGCTTCTGGCTGAGCTGCGCTCCTCTCCCCCTGTGGAAGCACATTGACCACCAGGGAACAGCTCCTCCATTGATCATCTGCCCCCTAGTGGTCAGTGTGTGTCATAGCAACCAGTCATTCTGCCGTCGGTCGATTTGCATATTAGCCTTTTAGTATATAGGAGGATTAAGATAACAAAAAGAAAATATTAGGAAAATCATAAGGAAAATACATTGGCAATATTTATTGAAATATATCCACTCGTAAGTGAACCTACACAGTTCAAACCCATGTTGTTCAAGGATCAACTGTATATGCAATCAAATATTCATATTATCAAATGATAGATGGTTTGGTTAAATACAATGTTTAATATGGTTGTAAAGATGCAAGCAACTATACATTCAACTTTAAAACTGTCTTTTCCACCCCGTCCGTGTGGCTCGGTTGAGCATTCACCTCTGAACCAGGAAGTCATGGTTCCATTCCAGGTCAGGCACATGCCAGTTTACAGGCTTGATCCCCAGTGTGGGGTGTGCAGGAGGCAGCCAAGCTATGATTCACTCCCATCATTGATATCACTCTCTCTCCCCCACTTCCCTCTTCTCTGAAAGCAATAAAAATATATTTTAAAAAATAAACCAACAAGTGTTGGCAAGGATGTGGAAAAAAAGGGAATCCTCATGCATTGTTGGAAGAAATGTAGATTGGTGCAGCCACTATGGAAAACAATATGGAGGTTCCTCAAACGTTTTAAAATGGAACTGCCTTATGACCCAGGTTTCCCCTTCTGGGTATATATCAAAAAAACACACACTGATTTGAAAGAACGTATGCACCCTTATGTTCATTGTAGCACTATCTATGATAGCCACATTACAGAAGCAACCAAAGTGCCCATCAAGAGACGAGTAGATAAAAATGTGGGTACATATATACAATGGAATATTACTGAGCCACAATAAAGAATGACATCTTGCCATTTGCGAAAACATGGATGGACTTAGAGGGTATTTTGCTAAGTGAATAAATTAGACAAAGACAACTATCGTATGATTCACTTATATGTGGAATCTAAAGAACAAACTAAATGAACAAACCAAACAGAAGACTCATAGCTACAGAGGACAAACTTATGGTTGCCAGAAGCAAGGGAGGTTAGGGGACTGAGTGAAAAAGGTGAAGGGATTGAGAAATATAGATTGGTGGTTACAAAATGGTCATGGGGATATAAAGAAAATATAGTCAATAATATTGTAATAACTATGTATGGTGCCAAGTATTGGAAATATCAGGGGGAACACTTTGTAAAATATATGACTGTCTAACCACTATGCTGTAAACCTAAAACTAATACAAAATAATATTGAATGTAAACTGTAATTTAAAAATTTTAAAATACATCCTCACTGAAATGCACTTTTCATACAACCCTAGTAATAACAGCAGTCTTAAGAATGGGAAGTAAAGCCAACCCAGCAAGATAATTGGCATATTGAAAAACATTTAGAAAAATAAGTGTCATTCGAGTGGCCTGGACCTCACCAATTCACACTACACTCCTGTACTTGGATTCTGGATTTATAAACAAAACAGCCAACAGGAATTTGGGCAGGCGCAGTCATCAGAATCAACCATCAACTGTATATGTATTTCATATCAATATCCTCTTCTATCTCCACCCAAATTGGAGGCAAAGCTTCAATCACAATGAGAGAAAATATAAATATATTACAACGGCTTTTGCTCCCCCCACCCCCCAAAAAAAAAGAAAGAAAAGGAAAACTGAAATTCTTTTTGGAAAAGTTCTAAAACCTTCCTGGGGCAGAGTCAAGCTGCACCATGACATTCTAGTAGCAAAGTTATCCTGAGGCTAAAGTAGATCACACTTCTAATATCGGAAAGATAATAATGGTCAATTTCTGCAATGCCATATTGATTTTTTAAATTATATATAGTTATATACTTCACATGTTTCCTCCACTCCTTCAATGAAGGACATATTGTTGTACTTTCTTATAGCTTTACTTCAGAAGGACTGATTATAAGGAATTACTGAATGCTTCAAGCTAAAAAAATATCTATTAAGACCTTCGAATTACTGGAATTACAACAAAAAGTAATTCTCTGCAAAGGAGAAAATCATTCAATAAATATAGGGACCTCTAATTTATTTATTATTTTATACATTTAAAAAATAAATATACTGGTAGGTAGGGACCCCCGATTTTATACATTCGAAAGTCATTTGATTTCTTTTGCATTACTAAACCCCAATCATTTTCCCTAACAAATAAATATATTGCATCATTTAGCAAAGCCATTAGTCAAAGCTAAAAGTTTTCAATTGTTTTATTTCCCTCTATCCTTAAATTATTTTTGACTTAAAAAGGGAGTAGTTGCTTCACACAGAATTAGAGAAAATATTTGAAAATCATATATACAGAATATGTAAAGAACTTTTACAATGCAATAATAAAATGACAAATAACTAAATGTTTAAATGGCAAAGAATTTGAATAGACATTTCTCCAAAGAAGATATATGAGTGGCTAGTAAGCACTGGAAAAGATATTTGACACATTAATCACTGAAAATAATGCAAATCAAAACCACATTAAGATACCACTCGACACACACTAGACTGGTGATAGCTAAGACAGATAACAAAAATGTTAGTGAGTACCAGTGTGTGGAACAATTAGATTGCTAGTGGGATTATAAAATGATGCAGATACTTGGAATAGTTGGGTAGTTTCTCAAAATTTACACTATAGAGCTACTACATGATCCAGCAATTCCACTCCTAGGTATATAACCGAAAAAATAAAAAGAATGTCATACAAAACATTGTACATAAACATTCATAAGAGCATTATTCATGATAGCAAAAAAAAAAAAAAAAGTGAAAACCACCTAAATGTTCACCAACTGATGAATGAATAAAATGTGGAATATTATTTGGCAATAAAAAGGAATAATGCACTGATATAGGTTACAACATGGGTGAACTTCAACATCATTAAGATAAGAAAAAGAAGCCAGTTATAAACAACCACATATCATATGAGTCTGTTTACATGATCACAGTTGCAATTCATGCAAGAGTAGGTCTTCCTTCCCCTGGCTGCCAGCACCGGCTTCCTTCTGGCACCCGGGACCCCAGCTTCCCTCGCAGCCCCCTCTTCATCCAGAAGGTTCGTCCGAAAGGACATCCTGTCTAATTAGCACTTTACGCTTTTGTTATTATAGATTATGTTTGCTATATAAATTTATAGTAAATAAATGTGTGGCTGCCGATAGGCTGGGAGTACAGAATAAGAGGAAGGCGGGTGATGGGGAGTGACTACTAAGAGGATTCTATTTGAGGTGATGAAAATGTTCTAAACTTAGATTATGGTGATGATTGCACAACTCTGTAAATATGCCAAACACCATTGAATTGCATACTTTAAATGGATGACTTTTATAGTGTATACATTGTATCAATAAAACTGTTAAGAAAGTGGAGGAGGAAGATGCAATAACATGTTCCATTTCTTGGTGCCTTTGAAGACTACCTAGTAAGACCACATAGATCTCTTATTACTTAAAAGGATTGTGTCCATGTCTAGATCTAACACTAAACAAGACAAGAAAACAGACTGTTATCAAGGGAACTTAGCTTCATTGGAGATAGTTCCAGAAAATAGGTGACTTTTTAGAAAAAGGTGTGTACCAAGGTAAAACAGACCCACAGGGTATGGGTCTGCGCAAAGGCCTTAGCAAACAATGAGCAAATAATTTCTCCACTGAAGATTCAATGAGAGCTGGTGGTACAACGGTGCTCTGAGTGCATGCTTAAGAATCTCCACCCTCAGGGCCTGCCTCTCCCACAATTAACCAGGATCTCACAGCTCCAGCAGCCATCGGCGAATAGAGGCAAAAGCACCCACACAGCCCTGGCTGGTTTGGCTCAGTGGCTAGAGCGTCAGCCTGCGGACTGAAGGGTCTCAGGTTCGATTCCAACCAAGGGCACATCACATGCCTGGGTTGCAGACTTTATCCCCGGTGGGGGAATGTGCAGGAGGCAGCCAATCAATGATTCTCTCTCACCATTGCTGTTTCTATCTCTCTTTCCTCTCCCTTCCTCTCTGAAATCAATAAAGATATATTTTTTAAAAAAGCACCCATACAAGCATCCGAGGTCATGCACCCTAAGCAATGGCTCTGTTCTGGGTGCCTGGGCACCTAAGCTCACACGCCTGGCGCGCTCACCTCGCCTCCCAGCACTTCCCCCGGGCTCCTGGGCGCACAGAGGTGCAATGGGAAGGTGATCTTGGAACCACAGGGGGTCACGGGAACTAGGTCGGGGCTTGTAGGAGCCGGAGAAAATCATGGGGCGCCCACCCACCCAGGGCAGGGTCTTTGCAGCCCCCCGTCTTGCACAGGGCACGCCAACGTCCCCCGGGAGCCCGGCCCTCCTCCCGCGCCCCTCGGCCGGCTCCTACCTTCCTCCTTTACCATTTCCAGGACCTCGGGGTCGCCCATCTTCGCCAGCTCGTTAATGATGCTGAACGAGGTGTCCGAAGGGAGATGGCCGGCCTTCGAGGACTGGATACTGAATTTGAACTTGGGCCGCCGGAACTGCTGCTCCGCGGACTCAGCCGCCACGGTCTCCCTCTTCCGCTCGCGGAGGGTCTGGCTGTCCCAGAGCGACCCCGTCAGCGACTCCTCCGGCCCCACGATGTCCGAGAGCTTGGCCTTCTTCTCCAAGGGGTACCGCCACTCGCCCTCCCGGGCGCTGCTGGACATGTGCTTCGCCGCCCTCTCCCGGTAGCGCTGCCGGGCCCCCTCCCAGTACTGCTCCCAGAACGAGCCGTCCTCCCGGCGGCCCTGCTCCTTCGCCTCGCTCTCGGGCTCCCCCGGGTCCTCTCCACTCCAGCTCCCCAGCTGCGGTGCGGAACCCTCACTGCGCGCCGCGGCCTCCAGCCCAGCCTCCGCCATCTCCCCGCCCCCCGGCCGCGCAGGCGGGGCGCCCGCCCCCTCCTCTCCGCCCCGACCGTCCGAGTCTCTCGGCGTCTGCCCCGCCGCCTCCCCGGGGTCAGCCTTTGCCCCTCCCTCCCCGGGGCCCGCCGCCTCTTGGCTCCCCTGGGCCGACAGCTCCGCGCTCAACAGGCTCGGCTCGTCCCATCCCGACGGGCGGGTCCACGACCAGGACTCCCCGGGCGTCGCAAACAGCACTCGCTCCCAACCCTCCTGCTCGGTTCCCGACCGGCCCGCCGGCTGCTCCCTCCGCCTTTTGTCCTTCTCCTCTGCCATCTGCCCAGCCCTCGCCCTCAGCGGCGGCACTCGCGGGGAGCCCCCTCCCAGTTGGGGACTTATTTTTTGTCGGGTGAGAAAAAGCCCCCCTTTCTTAAGGGGACCCTCCCCCTTAAGGCCAGGATTCTAGCAGCCCCCTCCAGCCTGCCCCGCGCTCGGGTATGAACTTTGCTTCTCAGCAGGGCAAGTTTCCTGCACCTGCAACCAACTCTCTTGTCCAATAAGGTTGGGGGCATGTCATACATTTTTTTTTGGTCCTGAGTTCGAATTCAGCCTCTGCTCCTAAAAATCGGGTGGCATTGGCCAAGTTTCTATAAGCTTCCCTATCTTAAAAGGAGATGGGTAGCAGTACCCACTTCCTAGGGATGTTGTGAGTACAGTGTGGAGTGCACGGGCATCATGTGTTAAAAGTTTAGCCGCTATCAAAACTAGGCCATATCACTTTGAGCCCTGCCCCGCCTCAAAGGGTCTCAGTGCCTTGAGCACTTCAGCTTCCCACTCTGCACACGCTCCTCTGAATTCCTTCTATGTTGTTGAGACCATAACAGCTGCCAGCTCCCCAATAATTAGGAGATATGAAGAATGACTGTCTACTCAGACTCTACTTAGACTCTACTGGGTGAAAAATGCATGAGCGATGATGAACTCAGGGTGAAGTGGAGATATGAGATGGCGGGCTTTGAGAGTATGCAGGATTGGATGATTTAAGAACAAGGAGATGACCAAAGAAGACTTCCCTTCCCTTCCCTTCCCTTCCCTTCCCTTCCCTTCCCTTCCCTTCCCTTCCCTTCCCTTCCCTTCCCTTCCCTCCCCTTCCCTCCCCTCCCCTCCCCTTCCCTCCCCTTCCCTCCCCTCCCCTCCCCTCCCCTCCCCTCCCCTCCCCTCCCCTCCCCTCCCCTCCCCTCCCCTCCCCTCCCCTCCCCTCCCCTCCCCTCCCCTCCCCTCCCCTCCCCTCCCCTTATGCTATTCTATTCCTCCCTCCCCTTTCTATGGAGTTTTTATTTTTTAAAAAATATATTTTATTGCTTTTTTACAGAGAGAAAAGGAGAGAGATAGAGAGTTAGAAACATCGATGAGAGAGAAACATCGATCAGCTGCCTCCTGCACATCTCCTACTGGGGATGTGCCCGCAACCCAGGTACATGCCCTTGACCGGAATCGAACCTGGGACCTTTCAGTCCGCAGGCCGACGCTCTATCCACTGAGCCAAACCAGTTTTGGCACTATGGACTTTTTAGAACTAAGAATTACCATTTACAGATGAGGAAAAAAGCCTAGAGAAAAGTGTTTTGGTGAAGGTCATGGTTAACTGTAGAACTGGAAGACATCTTTTGGTTTTTTTCTATATCTTTCTATCTATACTCTTAAACCTCTAGGACTATATCAGTCACGTAATTTGAGACAAGCAGTTCCTTACTTGATACATTCTGGGATTGTGTTTGAAACGTGAGTCCGCCAATGGGCTTACATGTAATTACAATAAATTCCTAGTTAGGATGCGAAGTGTTTGGTTTTACCTTTTGATTACTAATCATTGTTTAATTCTAATAGCACGTTTACAACATGATTTGTTTCATGGTCTTCCTGTATTTGTTTCATGTTCTTCCTGTATGCTTCATGTTCTTCCACTAGGCACTGTGCATATTGTGATTCAACAAATGAGTGCAATCTTTGCTTTATATAGATTAAATAAAAATATTTATTTAATTGTTTTTCTATTGTTATATAGTTATAAGTTTTATATTTCTTGATTCTGCACCATATTTGAAGTGACATATGAGAAGACATTTAATGCTCTTGGTTTTGCACAAAATTAAATGGAATATTTTGATGCTGAATTGGCTGAAATTTTATCAACTTTCTGTAAACATTGTTAACAAAATCTTGAAGGCTTCCTGTGTTCTTCAGATAAAGCTCTGTATCTTAGTTGATAAATTTTCTCTATAGCCTTATCACTGTAATATTTTATATTGCTCATCCATTTATAATTTTTATGTGCCCCATCACTACACCCTGCCTCTTTTTTTTTTTTTTTCCTGCAAAAAGCTTTATTGTTTCATTTGATCCAATGCATGGGAGAGGGCTTCAGGGTGGTTAAAAGAATGGATAGTAGTTTTGCGGAGAGGCTCAGGTAAAAGCCAGACACCAGGGGAGTGCAGAGGGGCCTTCAAAGGCCTCTGGGCTCCAAGGGCTCCCTGTTGTGCTTGAGAGTGAGCCTTTGGAAGAGATACTCGCCCAGCCCGGCCCAGCCAGCCTGTGGAGGTTAGTCAGGTAGTTGCCCATCTTCTTGATGAGTTTCACCTCCTCATCCAGGAAGTGGTTCTCCAGGAAGTCACAGGGCTGAGGGTCTGCGGGGGTAGAACCCAGGGCCTGCAGCTCCAAAAGGGCCTGGTTCAGGTTCCTCGCCAAGGCCAGGGTGGCTTCCATGGCGGCCTGAGTTTTGTGCACTCATCTTGGGAAGGCTCAGCAAGTCCTGGAAGAGAAGGAGGCCACCTCACGTGTTTTGCAACTTTAAGGGATGCTCATGCCCTCAAGCTTCTTCTCTGCCAACTCGCAGAAGAAGTGGCCCTCGCCCTCGAGAGCCACATCATCATGGTCGAAATAGAAGCCCAGAGAGAGGTAGGTGTGGGAGGCCCGCAGAGGCAAGTTGGCCAGGCGGTTGACCACAGCTTCCACCTCAGTGGAGTAACTCTAACGAATTTGGGAGCTCATGGTTGTTCACCAATAAGGAGTTAAGGTAGGAAAAAAACAAACAAAATAAAACACACACCAGTGTATTGGCTGGTCCCGGAGGTGGTTCTGAGGGTGGTGACTGGATAAGACACAGGAGGGTGGTCGGAGGCTGGAAGAAGGGGTGTCCCTGGGTCTGTTCCGTCCAAACATTGTTGAAGCAAGAGACAGATCCGGGACTGCCGCCGAGGGCAGTCTATACCCTGCCTCTTTAGACCCAATCTTCAGCTATACATTTTGAGAATGTGCTCTAAATAATGAATACATGTTCTCTTAATGTAATTGAACACAGGGTTAAGTACAGCAGGCCCCCGTTTGTCTGCAGTTTTGCTTCCCCCAGTTTCAATTATCCTCTGTCAACCAAGGTCCAAAAATATGAAATGGAAATTTTCAGAAATAAACAGTTACTAAGTTTTAAATTGCAGGCTGTTCTGAGTAGCATGATGAAATCTCGCACCCTCTGCACCCTCTCTCACTCAGCGTGAATTGCAGCCACGTGAATTGCAGCCACGTAAATTGTGGCCACGTGAATTATCCCACGGGAGCCTGCCTGTCACTCAGCAGCTCTCTTAGTTATCAGGTGGACTCTCATGGTATGGCAGTGCTTACGTTAGCCACCTTATTTTACTTAATAATGTCCTCAAAGCTCAAGATTAGTGATGCTGGCAATTGATTATGCTAAAGAGAAGCCTGAAAGTGGTTCCTTTCAGTGAAAAGGTGTAAGTTCTGGACATAACAATGAAAGAAAGGAAAAATGTATGCTGAGGTTACTATGGGTGGCAAGAAAAAAAAAATCTATCCATGAAATTGTGGAGAAGGAAAAAGAAATTAATGCTGGCTTTACTGTCGCACCTCAGTCTGCAAAAGCTATGGCCACAGTGCGTGATAAGTGCCTTAGTTCAAATGGAAAAGGCATTACATGTGTGAGTGGAAGACATGAACAGAAAACGTGTTCTGATTGATGGTATGTGTTGTGGCAGAAAGCACTGAGCCTATAAGGGAGAGGTAGGACACCGTTTTTTTCTGCCAAGGGCCATTTGGATATTTGTAACATCATTTGAGGGCCATACAAAATTATCAACTCGAAAAATAGCCTGCTATATTTGGTCGAACATTTAAGTAACTCACCCCTAATGCCTTGACCAAATGATTTATCGGGCCTTCTACAGCCTGTGGGCCAGTAGTTCCCACCCCCTGCTATAAAGACTTCAGCAAGTGACATGTAAAGGATGGTTAAAGTAAGATATTTTGAGACAAGAGACCACACAACTTTATTATAGTATATTATTAAAATTATTCAATTTTATTATTAGTTGTTCATCTCTCTCTCTCTCTCTCTCTCTCTCTCTCTATATATATATATATATATATATATTGATTTCAGAAAGGAAGAGAGAGGGAGAGAGAGATAGAAACATCAATAATTAGAGAGAATCATTCATTGGCCACCTCCTGCACACCCACTACTGGGGATCGAGCCTGCAGCCTGGACATGTGCCCTTGACTGGAATCCAACCCAGGACCCTTCAGTCTGCAGGCCGAGGCTCTACCCACTGAGCCAAACCAGCTAGGGCTATTAATCTCTTACTGTAACTAATTAATACTTTAAACTTTATCATAGTTGTGTATGTTAAATCATTTAGGAAACTGAGGCTAAACTGGTTAACTGCCCAGAATTGCATAGCTATTAAAAGACAGAGCAAGAGCTTGGAGCCAGAAGAGCCTGACTCCTTGGTTCATTCATGTTCTTAATCACCATAGAGCTTTGCAAAATGCAAACTAAAATCAGCTTTGATTTTGTTCAATATTTTTAGTAATTGCTCTAAATTTCCAGTTTTCTGTCAGTTCTTCTTTGGAAATGTCTCACTCAGTTATTGAAAATGTTTTCATATAGCTGGAAGTCACAATGCATAATTTCCTACAGTTGCACTTTATCACCTTCCTCTTTGTTTCCTATGATAGCCTGGTAGTTTGTTTTCTTCCTTCCCATCAGGCAATATTGTTTATGGATAAATATGTTGGTTTGGGGTTTGATGGAACTGATTTCAAGTTTAAGCTCTCTTACTTCTTAATCCATGTGGTATTTGATAAGACTCTTACCCCTTTCTGAGCCCCAGTTTTCTTACTTATAAAACAAAGAAAATAATTCTTACCTCACAGGGTTATTTAGTACAATAAATGTAAGAACGCCTATGTTTTCACTTGTTTAAATATTAAACCATGAGATGCCATTTTAATTTTATCGCATTTGTTATTGTTGTTGAGTTGATATTAAGTGATAGAGT